GGCATGCTGTGCTTCTCAGGATGGTACCTGCTACACTGGGAACAGACATGCGCTGTCCCTGGGAATCTCAAAGGTCCCCCCAAGGCTGTGTCACAGCTCAGGAGACGGCGTACTGGGGAGGGAGTGGAGGGGCCTCAGTGTCTGCTGAGGGCCGTTTCCTGAACACATGGGCTCCTGTTCACTGCTTTCCTTCCTGAAGACTTTAAAGAGAATTCCTTCTTCCTGTTTGGAATACGGTGTGAGTTCAGGTTCCAACAGCTTGTGTTTCTCCCCTTGCAGATATTTAAGACCCTGTTTTGTACGGGACATTGTCAAGCTTTTTTAAAACAGTTTTTATAGAGTCATTTCTAGGTGTATTTTATCTAATTGTTAGAGTTCTGCAGTAGTAAAATATAATCTCCAAAAAAGAGTTGACAAAATAAAACTCTAATGTGATGTGTCACCGTCCGGATGAATCTGAACACATGCCCGGCAGTGACCTCGTATGTTGCTAGGTCAAAACGTACACATGTCTGGGGTTGCGGGACACGGTATTGCTCTGTCCCCCAGGCTGCGGTGCAGCGGCGCAGTCTCAGCTCATTGCGACCTCCGCCTCCTGGCTTCAGGTGATCCTCCCACCTCAGCCTTCAGGGTAGCTGGGACCACAGGTCCACACCTTCACACCAGGATAATTTTTGTACCTTTTTTTTTATTTTAAGAGATGGGGTTTCACTGTGTTGTCCAGGCTGGTCTCGAATTCCTGAGCTGCAGCAGTTAGCCCGCCTTGGCCTCTGAAAGTGCTGGGACTACAGGTGTGAACCGCTGTGCCCAGCAAGACATAAGCATTTTTACCCATCATTTTTGTCAGGGTGTTTAGTTAGCATTGTTTCCCTGTTATGTTTATTGGCAAACATGATTCTTTTTCTCCCCAAACATAAATTCTAGGGAGATGATAGTTGCATTTGGAAAATATTCCAGAAAACAGTTTTATTTTTTGTTAAACTTTTTACTTTAAAAGGTGTTCACCGCTTTATTTCAATAAACTGCCTTCTTAATGATATGGCAAACAAACCCTTCTGAAATAGTCACTGTTTACCGTCACTTGGGGGACAGTGAGAACTGGTCAGAAAGTACATAGTCAATCAAGGTTCGAACTCTGGAAGTCAGTGTTTCTCCCCGCTCTTCAGTTGTTTACTTGGTTAGGCTTAACCTCAAAACTGAATTTAGAGAAGTCTTTGACCTTCTGGGAAGTGGATGCGGCTTTGGTATCTGGGCAGAGCAGAGTTCACCATCCAGAAGGACATCAACACACACTCTTACCAGATGTATGTTTTAAAAATAACACATTGACCGGGCGCGGTGGCTCAGGCCTGTAATCCCAGCACTTTGGGAGGCCGAGGCGGGTGGATCACGAGGTCTAGAGATCGAGACCATCCTGGTCAACACAGCGAAACCCTGTCTCTACTAAAAAAATACAAAAAATTAGCTGGGCATGGTGGTGCGTGCCTGTAATCCCAGCTACTCAGGAGGCTGAGACAGGAGAATTGCCTGAACCCAGGAGGCGGAGGTTGCGGTGAGCCGAGATCGCGCCATTGCACTCCAGCCTGGGTAACGAGCAAAACTGCGGCTCAAAAAAAAAAATAAATAAATAAAATAACACATTTCCGAATCCTTTTTCTTGATTCAATTTCAGTATTTGTTATTCTCTTAGTTTTAAAACTTGTGAGTGTTGGTGGAAGCAGTTTCAGAAAGCTCGTGGGGCCCCCAGGTGTCATGGTCAACTCTGGGTCCCATCTCCACTGTCCTTGCAGGGAAAGCTGGGTCAGATTCATGCTGTTGCAGGCCTGGGACCTAAAAATTTGTTTCCTTCAAAAGGCGCTCTTAGAATGTATGACTAGTTTAGGAGTTCAGAGGAAAGTGAAACGCCTCACATTGAAAGGTTGACTGTAGACCATTCAAGTTCCCTGGGAGGCCCGGGTGGAGTGTGCCTGAAGACTGGCTGGAGTGGAAGTGGGTCGGGTCTGTGGGTCCTTCCTGAGCAGGGCTCCCCCTTGGCTCCCCTTCGGTTCCCTTCAGAGCTGCCCGCAGCTGAGCTGGGCCGTCCTGGCCGGGTGCCTCTTCCTGGGCCACAGGAGGATGTCTGTATCTGAGGGGCTTAGATCGGGCTGACCCACACCCTGTCCTGAGGTGCCACGTGCTTCTGTGGACTGCAGGGTGGTGGGAGGCCACAGGCAGCGTCCTCAGGAATGTATGCTGGGAAGAAGTTCCGGCCCTCGGGAAAGGCTGGCAGAGGCTGGGCTCCTCTTGCTCCTGGGTGTGTGTGGGGTGTCGTCCCAGCACATGGGTCTCCTCTGGAAAAAGAAGTGCCATCTGCTCTGACAGTGGGGCGCAGTCCCAGGGCGCTGTCTCTACAGATGATGCACGCCACCGTCACCCTGCAGGCTGCACCACCAGCCGTCAGCCCAGCTCCAAGGACACCTGTAACTCACCTCCTGCAAAACGTTTCTTATAAGACTTACTTGGGACACTTATTAACTATGCTCTTCAGTAATTATGGAAGTATGGATTTTAACCTATATATTGCTGTTCATATTTGACACTGATTTTCTAACCATTAGAGATATTTAATTAAAATTTATAAATAAAAAAGGCAACATGAAGATGAAAGCAGAAGAATTCTAGGGAGAGACCTTGGGTGTCAGAAGTTATTTCTAAAATTAAAGTGTATGACACTGAATTCTCTTCCTAGTCATCAGCGCAGCTGGTGATGTTCATCTGCTGGGTGCATGTATCTAAAATGAGAAAAGCTCTTTTTTCACCCTTCCTTTTTCTTTTTTTTTTTTCTTTTTTTTTTTTTTTTTTGAGACAGAGTTTTGCTCTGTTACCCAGGCTGTAGTGCAGTGGCACAATCTCGGCTCACTGCAACCTCTGCTTCCCAGGTTCACGTGATTCTCCTACCTCCTACTCCCAAGTAGCTGAAATTACAGGTGCTCACCTCCACACCCAGCTAATTTTTGTATTTTTAGTAGAGACGGGGTTTCACCATGTTGGCCGGACTGGTCTCAAACTCCTGACCTTGTGATCTGCCCTCGTCGGCCTCCCAAAGTGCTGGGATTACAGGCGGGAGGCACTGAGTCTGGCCTCTTGTTTTTTTTCTGTGAGTTGTAGAGCCTATTAAAAGAAAATAAAAAACAGTGACTCAGAATTCTAATGATACATATTTTGCCCCTTAAAAAGGCTAACTACAAGTGCAGTACGGCATAGTGGGACTTGGTCAATGTCTCTGGCTCACATGTGTGTATATATGTATATCTCCTTGTTCTGGTTTTGGTTTTTCTCTTTAGAAAGTGAAGCAAAATATGATGATAATAATAATGAAGAGGAAGAGGGAGAACAGTTCGATTTTGACAGTGGAGATGAAATCCCAGAAGCGGACAGACAGGCTCCCTCCACCCCTGAGACAGGAGGTGCTGGAGCCAGTGAAGCCCCTGCACCCGCTGCTGAGGCCCCAGGTGAGTCTCGAGGAGGGTCCCCAGGAGGGTCCCCAGGTGAGTCCCTGAGTGAGTCCCCTGGAGGGTCCCAGGAGGGTCCCAGCTGAATCCCCAGTTTGAGTCCCCAGAAAGGTCCCTGGGTGGGTCCTCAGGAGGGTCCCCAGCTGAGTCCTCAGGTCCCTAGGAGGGTCCCCAGGCAAGGCCCCAGGTGAGTCCCCAGGAGAGTTCCTGGGAGGGTCCCCAGGTGAGTCCCTGGGAGGGTCCCCAGGCGAGATCCCATGTGAGTCCTCAGGAGGGTCCCCAGGTGAGTCCCAGGCAAGTCCCCAGGTGAGTCCCTGGGAGGGTCCCCAGGTGAGTCCCCAGGAGGGTCTTTGGGAGGGTCTCCAGGAGGGTCCCCAAGTTAGTTCCCTGGTGAGTTCCCAGGTGGGTCCGCAGATCACCAGTGTCAGGGTCACCTGTGTCCAGCCATTGGGCTCATTCGGGCTCACTGATTTTTCTCCCCGTTCTTACTGCTCGGTTGGAACATTGGAGGGAAAGGGTGGTTTCTAGGAGCCAGAGAATTAGCATTTCTTCATGATGTGCCTGAAATGACTTAATTAACGTTGGCTGAGTTTGTTTTCTTTGTACTTTTTTCCATAATTTTCCACCTCTTCACTCTCCCCTTCTATTTTATAGAGAAAAGGTATTGCTCTTCCCAGTAAAAATGACCTCATCATTGTATCACTAGATTAAATGAAGTATTCGGAGCCTTTGGGATGAAGTAGCTAGAGAGGTTTATCTTTCTAAGTCTTGAGGTGGGTTGGGTGCTTTCATTCGCTGACCAAAGGGACTGCTCAGAGCAGGCTGTGGTGGCAGAGCTTGCACGGTGTTCCTTCATGTGTGGCACCTGCCTCCCGGCCTGCACGGCGTTCTTTGTGTGCAGCACCCACCTCGAGGTCTGCACGGTGTTTCTTTGTGTGCAGCACCCACCTCCCGGCCTGCACGGCGTTCTTTGTGTGCAGCACCCACCTCGAGGCCTGCAAGGCGTTTGTGTGCAGCACCGCCTTTTGGTGGGGGAGCGGCCCCTCCTCCAGCAGCTTCTCCCTGACCTAGCTCATGGGATGAGTCTCCTGCAGTGGCCAGGCTGCATCTGTCTCGCCTGTGCCCAGAGGTCATGCTGGGCTCCCCATGTGCGACCACTCCCTCCGAGACCCACCTGATGACGTGGGAATGTCCAGGGGTCCTGGCATGGAATGGAGGCTGGGAGTTCACTACCTGCTTCTGCCTGCGTTCCCAGAGGGCACGCCTGCCACGCCCTTGGTGATGTGTCTGCTGACAAGTCCTGTCTGAATCCCCAGGAAGTGAGGATGGAGCTGGAGGAGAAACCACCCCAGTGGCAGAGCCTGCTAAGCTGGTGCTCCCGCTGAAAGTCAACCCATATTCTGTCATCGACATCACGCCGTTTCAGGAGGACCAGCCACCTGCCCCCACGCCTGGCAATGAGGAAGAGAGTGTGGGTCTCCATGTGCCCTGCGGGTACTCGGTGCCTGTGCCCTGTGGCTATGCAGTGCCTTCCAACCTGCCCCTCCTGCTGCCCGCCTACTCCAGCCCGGTCATCATCCGCACCACGTCCCTGGATGAAGAAGGTACCATTGCCCTCTCCATGCCCCCGCCGTGGCCTGAGGTTCTGTAGAGTCTGGGCCTGACATTCCCTCCGGCCTCCCCAGATCAGCAGGGGTTTGTTTACAGAGTTGGAAAGTGAGCCCCCAGTTCATCTTCTTCAGTGACAGGAACATCACTGAGGAAAGGCCAGGGTGTAGCGTTTGGAAAATTTTCAAACAACATCTGGTCCCGAATGTGTGGCCCCCTCATGTCTGGGATGCCTTGAACTTCACCTTGATTTCTGATTCCCACAGTAGGTGCTCAGGAGAGCTCGTGTAGTTTTGGGCCTTGATCACTTAGTGTGCTAAATGACAGTTATCGTTATGTGTATCTCCTGTCACCCGCTGGTCCGGAAACTCCAGCTTGCTGCAGTCAGAGCTGGTGTCTCGCTGTCTTCTTGCCAGAGGATGGAGGGGCAGTGGGGCTGGGAGGGGTGGCGGGGGATGGAGGGGCGTGGGGGTGTGTTGGGTGGCGGGGATGTGGGAGGGGTGGTGGGGGATGGAGGGGTGTGGGGGTGTCTTGGGGGGCGGGGATGTGAGAGGGGTGGTGGGGGATGGAGGGGCGTGGGGGTATGTTGGGCAGCAGGGGTGTGGGAGGGGCTGTGAGGGTGGGTGGAGGGGTGGTGGGGGTATGTTGGGCAGGGGTGTGGGAGGGGCGGCGGGGGTGGAGGGGTGTGGGGGTGTGTTGGGGGCAGGGGTGTGGGAGGGGTGTGGGGGTGTGTTGGGGGGCAGGGGTGTGGGAGGGGCGTGGAGGTGTGTTGGGGGCAGGGGTGGGTGGAGGGGTGGTGGGGGGTGGTGAGAGAGGTGGTGGGGGCGGTGGGGGGTGGTGGGAGGGGATTTCGGGGGATGGAAGGGCGGTGGAGTGGGGAGAATTGCCCGAGGGGCTCCCTGTCTCCCACCAATGCTTTTCCTCACCCGGGAGATGCCCAGGGACTTCAGCGGGAGTCCTCGGTGGAAGGTCGGAGCCACCTGGAGAAGCACAGAGGGTGCAGAGTGGACCGCTGAGGACGGGTTCCCTGCGGCCAGGCCCTGCTCTGAGCCAGGACCGTGGGTGCCCTTGTGGGCTCCTCGCTCCCCTCCGATCTCTGTGTCCTCAGTGCTGACAGCTCCGTTTGGAGTCTGCTTTCTCCTCCGCTCGGTGCGGAGCCGCTGACGTGTGCTTTGGAAGGTCTCGCTTGTTGGAGCCTGTTCCCTGCCGTCCGTAACGTGGTCCTGGCATCTGTGGTCTGCAGAGCCCCGGGCTCCCTCTGGACGGAGAGGTGCAGCCCACGGGCCGGGACCTCCTGCGCAGGCCCAGGCACCCGGGCGAGGGCGAGCACGGGCTGCGCCTCCGTCTGCAGGAGCCAGCCGTAGTCGCGTCCGGAAGCGGCCGGTCGAGGCGGCTCGGCTGAGGTTTTCGTTTTTTGCCCGGGTCTGTTTCTATGCCGTCTTTCCCGGGAACGTGCTGCGGGTTTCCTGGGGTAGGTGAGACGTTCCTCTGATGGAAGCGCGCAGCCTCTGTGTCTGAGAACCTGCTTTACTCCTGTGAAGGTTTCAGTGAAAGCACTCTTCCCTTTCCAGTTCACTAACAGTTGAGGGAAAAAGTCCTTAAAGGAAAATCCTGATTTGGGATTTTGGGAACCGCAGAGATTTCAGGCTAGATGCCCTCCTGTGCGTTTTCCTGTTGAAGTCGGCCGGAGTCCTGAGAACTCACCAGGTCTGCGTGGTCCACGCGGCTGTTCTCTCTCTGTGACCGCAGAGAGTGAGGACAGGACCCCCCGGAAAGGAGGGAGTGCAGAGTATGGGCTTCTTAGCTGAAGAAAAATACATTCATTTAAAAGTGATTTTCTTATTTAAAAGCATTATTTGATTACTTTAAATAATTGCATGTCATTTAAAGTAATTCTTTAAAATAGCATGGATTTAAGACAATTTTCTTATTTTTGTTCTGTCAGCTTGGAGCCAGTACTAATGCCTTGTTCTAATAAAGTCTATTTTAAGTCCTAGTGTAGAGGAGCAGATGGTTCTATGGTTGCGTTTTGATGGTTGAAAGAGAGACGTGAATGCAGACCACCTTCCTGAGGGGTGAAAAGGCGTGGGTTTGGTGTCAGGCCGGGTCCCAAGCCTGGCCCCCACTTCCTGCTTGGTGGCACCGCTGGCCTTTCAGTTCCTTGTTCCGCAGCCTCCCCGGCACTGGTGGCCACCTGGCTCTGCAGGGCTTCCCCAGACGCACAGCCCAGCCAGGCTCCCCAGGCCCATGGTGGGAGCTTTGCACAGTACTGCCTGGAGCTCACAGCTGGTCAGGCTGGATGGCCAGATGCAGTTATTTTTCCTACTGACTGAAACCAGCTCTGAAAAACGTCCACAGGCAGGTCCGGCTCTTGTTTCCTCCTGGGCCTCCTGCGGCCAGAAGCCTCTGGGTGCGCTGCTGCTTGAGCAGCCCATGCAGCTCCCTGGTGAGCCTTTCCGCCTCCTTCCGACTGTGACGGACCCTCGGTTTGCAGGCATCTTAATTTCCTGGAGGGAGGAGGAAAGAAGAGTGTCCTGGGGTGGGGCTGTGAGAAGACTCACGTGTGTGCTCTGGGAGTCTGTGCTCTGCGGGCCACTTCTGTGCTCTGGAGCCCCCGTGGCAGGGACAGTTCTCACTGTGTAGCGAGATTGCTGCCGGGCAGCCCAGTCCTGCCTTTGCCCCTCTGTGGAACAGTAGTAAAAGCTTTTCGGCTCTTTGGGTGTTTCTTGGAGGCAGTGTAGTAGCATGGGAAGAGCAGGTGCCTTGACACCTGGCCCTCAGGAAGATGGTCTGGAACACTGAACCAGCGAGGCCTGTGGGATTCACAGCGCTGCCTGCAGAGCCAACCCTGGGCACCTCGTGTCTATTGCTGTTTGGCGTCCAGCTGTGTGGCAGCACCCGGTGTGCCAGGGAGCCATTTTCACGGGTGAGATCTCCAAGCAGGTGATGCCGAGCTCCGCTCTCTCGGACGTTTGAACCACCTGCTGCCCTTTGAATATGGTTGGGAGCTGCTGCTCACCCCAAAGATGAATTCCCTTTCAAGCATGTTGCATGGAAGCTGCCAGTGTGGTGATGGACAGCTGCCTCTGGGTGCCGCCGGCTCTCCTTCCCCACATCATTCTTGGTGCCACGCGGCTGGGCAGCGGCAGAATTCATCAGGGGATCACGCAGCCCACACAGTGCAGTCATCCCAGACGCTGGCTGGCTCCTGGCCAGAAGCCCTCTGAGGTGGGAGGGCCTCCTGCTTCTGCACTGGCGTCTCAGGCTATTCTTGGAGCCTCTGAGTTCAGTACCTCACCTGCGCGGAACGTGTGGGAAGCTGGCGCTGCGGCCTTGCTCACGGCTCTCCAGGTGCCCTGGAGAGCCCCTCAGGAAGGTGGTCTGCAGCACTGAACCAGCGAGGCCCGTGGGATTCACGGCGCTGCCTGCAGAGCCCACCCCGGGTGCCTCGTGACCGTTGCTAGTTGTTGTCCAGCTGTGTGGCGGCACCCTTCGTGACAGGGGGCCGGTTTTCATGGATGAGATCTCCAAGCAGGCAGGAAGAAATAGCCAGTCAGGCCAGACCGTGCGTGTTTGTGTGTGGAGAGGTGTGCGAGGAAAGGCTGGTGTCACGTGTCACAAGCTTAACTACTCCTCCCTTGAACGTCCTTTGAGGGTGGCGGGTGGACGCCCGCTCAGGCAGGTCCCAGCTGTGGCTCCTTTGGACGTGCGGGATGGGAGAGGACATCCCATTTCTTTCTAAGTCCAGCCTGATGCATTCAGGAGCCGGTGCGATTCATTTCCGGTGTTTCAGAAGCCCTCGGTAGATCACATTTTATTAGATTCCTATCTCGAATACATTTTATCTAAGAGCTAAAAATTTTAAAAAGTATTAATCATCCTTATGCTAAGCTAAGCCTCGATTGATAAGAAAGCAAAGTGTGAAATCATTTTTAAGGGTAAAACCATCAACTTCCTAAGCCTCCTTGTCAGGCATAAAGCAGCATCCCTTTCTTGCTTTCCCAGCAGAAACACCGGAAGTCACAGAAGATCGCCAGCTCAACTCTCTGAGTTCCGAGGAGCCTCCAAACAGGTATCTGCATCCGTCTTCCCGTGTGTGCCGGATTCCTGCCTTTCTCCTGAGGAGCTGGACACAGGGATCCTGGCCTACGTCCCTGCCCGCCATCCTCAGCTCTGCTTCGGTGGGGGCTGTCCCAGCCCCATCTCCTGCCTCAGGTCCCTCGCAGGCGATGTCACCTGGACACACAGGGTCAGGAAGAGTGGAGTGGGGTCTGAGAACTGGGTCTTGCTTCAGGCCTCCAGCTGTGTCAGCCAGGCCTGGCCTTGTCCTCCGCTCTGCTGTTTCGTTCCCTCATTTTCCTTCTTTCTGTCACAAAGGCGGCCTTTACAGGGGAAGGTGTCCCCTTCGAAATCCCCTGCAGGCGGGTGGGGTCTCTGGGGAGCAGCTCCCACTCGACCAGTGCTCTCTCCCCAGACACGAGGCACTGGGGTGGGCTCTGCAGGCAGCGCTGTGAATCCCACAGAGCTGTGCCACCAGGTAGGTCCAGCCAGGGTTCTCCGTTAGAAATTGCTGATTTTATATGAAATTAAATATTAGTGGTGGTGAGTTATCACTGGCAGTCTAAAATGTACCGTGAAAAATATGTCCATTGGAAAAAGGAATTATTTTGAAGAAAATGAATATAAAATGTAGTGTGATGAAAACCTTAAATTATTTTCAAAAGGGTGAACTTTTTCAAATGTGAAAATTTTTCAAACATTTATGAATAGTCTAAAATACTGTGTCTATTCGCTTCAGATTTTCTTTTACCTTTCTAGGTGGCTTTTTGTTTTGGTATAATTTTAAACTTTAAAAGTGCAAGAATACTCCTTGTTGATGTAGTAAGTTCTCAGAGCAGGGGAGCACATCTTAATTCCACACGTGCACAGCACAGCACACGGATGTCCCCCAGCACCCACGGGGTCGTCACCAGGACACAGGCTTTCACGGGGACCACATCTTAATTCCACACGTGCACAGTATAGCACGTGGGGCATCCCCCAGCACCCACAGAGCTGTCACCAGGACACAGGCTCTCTTCTGTCATCCTGAAAGTCCTGTAGGTACCTGTTAGAGCATTTGCTTGACAAGTCGCCCTCGTGGGGTACTCTTCACGGATGGTCACATGATTCCATGTGAGCGACCCTTCCCTTAGGGGTGTGTTCCAGGGCCTTGTGTGCGCATCTCTGGGTGCTCGCCCCGCTTCCAGTCTCTGCCTTCCCAGCAGTGTCTGCGCTGCCGCTGGGCTCATCCTTGCTCAGCTCTCCGCGGGACACAGTGTGGAGAGACCTGGTTCCTGCTCTCTTTCCTTTGTCAGCAGTGGTGCTCTCATGGGGCCACGCTCAGTGTGTGCAGGGAGTGTGACCTCATCCTTCCAAGCGGAGTGTTCCCACAGCTTCCCGTTGCCAAGGGTGACATCGCAGTCCCTGTGTGTGGGACTCTGGTGTGGCCCATGTTACCACCCGCTGTGGACAGAGCACCATCGTTTATGCTGGTGACCTTGCGTCTCTTCCTCCCACTGACCTGCTCCTGGACGCGGAGAGGGCCTGTTGCCTACTGGCGTCTCCACAGCCAGCGTCGTGAGCAGGGCCTGAGAGGCCCTCAGAGGGGTGGCTGAGAAACTGGGAGACAGTTCAGGACTTCTGGGGCGGGGGCCAGTCGCTGCTATATTCCCCTTATCCCGTGTTTTGTGCTGTGGGGAGGGCGAGTGTCTGGAGCACTTATTTACAGTTATGAGTGAACACTTGAACTTGGGTTGTCCTATGATTATGATAATAGCTGGGAAAATGTGTGATTCTCTGTGTAGTAACATACACGTATATTCACACACACACACACACTAGGGCGGTTGGCAGCCTAGTGACTGGGCTGTGCCTGGATATTCTGACTTTATGGTTTGTTTTCTTTAAGTGAAGATCACGTCACTCGAGAGGACAGTGCACTGGCCCGCTGGGCGGCAGACCCGGCCAACACAGCCTGGATGGAGAGTAAGTCCCGTGGCTACCCACAGCCAGAATCCTCACCGCGCTCCACAGACATCACTTCGGCGGGGCTGGACCCTGAGTCTCATGTCTCGTCGGGTCTCAAACCCTAAAAAGATGTTCGTTTACTGAAATTAGTGACATGGGTTGCCCGTGCAGAAGTTCCCCGGGCTTCCTGAGCCGTCCCTTCTCCTGAGACCGTCCCGGCTCCCCACATGCACACGTGCACTGTTCCTGGTGGTTTCTTTCTAGCACAGGCTTTGCTGTTATGGTAACAGTTAGATATGTGGGGAACAGAAACTCTGACCTGCAGCCACGGTCGGCCACTACCCAGACGCTCACCCTCCGCTTCCCCGTGACTCCCAGGGACGTGCGGTGTCTGGCTCCCATTCTGAAGAGGGGGTGGGTGGGCCCCCCTTTTTTTCCAATACATAATTTATGTTACATAACTTGGTGTTTTCTTTTATTGAATCATAAGTATTCAAACGGGAATTCCTGAATAAATCTTTTGTTAATTTACCTTTGGCAGAAACAACAGATTCCAAAACATTTAATAGAATCTCATTTATTTGTAACTTTAAAAAAATTCTGTAGCATATTTTTCCAAAACAAATGTGCCTTAAACGAATGGGCTTTAAAAGCTAACTGGTAATGATTTTATGAATATCATAGCTTATGTAAGAGGACTATTACTTAAAGGACATACTAGACATGTGTATTTATAAAAACAATTTTTGTTCATGTGAATGATTCATGTTCAGATTTCAAAAATAGGAAACATCCTGAAGAGCATCATTTTATTTATAATATCACTCCTGGAAATTATAGCAATCTGCAATGTAAACAGTAGGGCAAAGAATTTCAAACGGTGTTTTTATGTGCATTTTAGCCTGTGGGATTATGTACCGTCTTTGTGTGAGGAATAAAACCAATGCACTTCCAACACATAGATGAAGCTTCTGTACGGTTAAGACCAAACCTAAAGGCATTCTTTATCCTAGGCATCCCCAAACTACTGCAGCCCCCTGAGGCCATTTATCCAGCCCCCCACCGCACTTCAGGAAGGGGCACCTCTTTCATTGGTGGTCAGTGAGAGGAGCACAGTATGTGGCGGCCCTCCAACGGTCTGAGGGACAGTGAACTGGCCCCCTGTGTAAAAAGTTTGGGGACGTCTGCTTTATCCCTTTAAGTTGGTGGAGCCAGCCCACCTCCAAGGGGCCGGATCTGTTGTCCCACCTGCAGTTTCAAAGTCTGAAAGATTTTTAGCTAGGTGTACTTGTGTTTTAATTTTTAAAGGAGAAGTAAAGATTCCTTTCCTGTTTATGACTCCCATTATCCACTGGCTCACTAATTTCTATGTAACCGATTTATAGGATCAACTTATGAGGTAGAGCCTCTTTGTTACCTCCTCATTATTAAACTGTCTCCTGGAAGTTTTCTGGTTTTAATTATGACTTTGTCAAAACAAAGATCTAAGTGTAATAGATGATTCTGCCGGGTGGCTATTAAAGCAGGATCGTTACAGGATTATTGTCTTGGCTGTTTGCTGGCAATTTTATTTCCAAAGTAAAATTTGTCTGATTTTTTTTTTCTCATTACTCATCTTCATTACCCAGGTGACAGTGAGTTAGAATCACTGTATTTGGAAACATGATCTCTAAACTAGCAGACCCTCAACATTCTAAGAGGGGTAGAAATCTTTACTGTGGTTGCAGCTAGTAAATGCTATTACAGTAAGGAGCATCTGTAAATACTGGAGCTTGACAGCAGCAGCAGAGAAGGAATTCTCCTGAATTTGCATTTCCCTGGTAGTGTGGGAACAGGAGCAGTGGCTGAGTGTCAGGGGAGAGTTTGGGTTTATTGATCTCATTTTCTTTCTGATGCGGCGTAGGAAGGAGTTGCCTGTATGTTTTCGACATAGTCATACGTTGTAGTTTGGACGTTCTCTTGCAGGGAGGGCACCGCTAGTCAACGAGTGTAACTTCCATTTAAAGGTTGTTTTATGAGGTGGATTTTCATGTGAAGTGTGTAACTCTTACAGATACCTGAGGAAACCTCAGGCTCGTTGTTGATGCCCTGTGTGGTCATCTCAAACGGCCGGTTTTGCACACAGAACTTCCCTCCTTTTTTATGAAACGGTTCCACTTTCACAGAACCCCAGCGCTGCACGTGCTGCAGATTGAGAAACACTGTCCTGTAGGTTTAGTGTTTTGATACTTGCATGTGGCTACTTTTTACCTTCCGTGGCACAAAATTATGGTGTCATTGGTTGATTTGGATGGTTTTCCACTTTTTCCAGCATGGACGGGCTCTTTTTTTATTTCTGGAATTTCTCTGTGCCACCTTTGTGTTTTTTGTGCATCAGAACACATTAACTTCATAAGCTTAAAATATTTGTAAGTGAGCCAATTGGAAATGTGTAATTGAACACAAAATCATACAACAAGATTGGCCTGGAAACCGTAAAACTCCTTACTAGTGACATTTTACAGCTGGTCCATTTAAAGTGACGTTCTTCACTCCTAGCAAATTATTCTGCCCTAAAAATAATGCTTGTGCTTTAGTAAGGTGCTTTTAACTAACTTACAGCCCTTGTTGTCTACTGGTTAGGAAAAAGAACAAAAAAGTAAAAAATAAATTTAAAAAAACTACTCTTATAAACCAACTTTTTGAATAATCATGACATCATCGGCGACTGTGGCCCTATAAAGTTTAAATGGCACTAGGTTTACAATGGTCACTGTTTAAAGTGTTTCTCCTCGTTCATTCCAGATCCAGAAGAAGCAATTTATGATGACGTTCCAAGGGAAAACTCAGACTCTGAACCAGGTTTGATTTTGTCTGGAATTGATTTGAGGAGAGTCAGCTCAGCAGCCTTTCCCTCCGGATGCAAAAGTGACTGTTTAGTGGATGGCCCCGTCGTTTTCTGTATTCGTGTTTTGTATGTTGCTTCTAGAATGGCTTATTGATGTGTGGTGGAATATTGGTGTTTGTGCACCTATGTATATATGTTTATAACACTCGAAATAGGGCAGTTATCTTACTTATCCCAAGCAAGCAGAGGAGTCAAATATACGGAAAATGTCAGCAAAGAGGTAGGAAACGTGGAGGCTGAGAAGCAGCACTGTATTCGAACAAATGCCATCAATAAGAAAATACAGAGAATTGGGAAGAGGTAATATTCAAAGAAAGAACTGAGAATTCTCTACAATGAAAGAAAAACATAAATTCTCGGATTTTAGAAACAGATTCAAAGCAAGATGAATTATATATTGATCCATACTTAGGCCCATACATGGGGGACTGCAGAGCACCAGGCCCACAGTGCATCTCCTCAGAGCAACTAGAGAGAAAACATGGTTCCCTGCAAAGGAACCGTGATTCGACTCACCCACAGGCTAGGGGGTGGGTTCTCAAAGTGAAGAAGAAAATGGCCCTTTTAGCCTGGACGGCCACATACAGCAAAGTGTAGTCCTTTAAAAAGGGAGACAGGCAGCATAAGGCAGAGCCGGGGAGACTCACTGCCCGTATAGTCTAAGGACATAGTTAATGGTGTGCTGCAGGGAAGGACACCTGAACCAAGAAGGACATAGTGGGAGGCAGGGAGGAGTGGGAGCCGGGAAGTGACGGACCTGTGGAAAGTCGCGACCGCACCGTTCGGGATAGCACTGATCACACTGAGTTTCAGATGGAGCCAAACCCCCACCAGAGCCGACTGGAGGGGAGGGCAATTTTTCAGGGAGAGGATATAGTGACTGATTTTTTTTTTTTGCTATGATTGGTCAAGTTGGCATTTTATGGGTAACTGCTAACAGGATAGGATTAGATTATTTAACTTTGAATCCAGTAGAGCAAATCCCAATCTGGTAAAGTCAAGAAAATATAAAATAAGAAAGCTTTGCAAATCATGTGAAAAAAGACTGCAAAATAAGCACAGACATTTGGTACGCATGGTAAATTGGATCCAATGGCCAGTGAAAGAAACCCTCGGATTGGATAAAATAGCAAAGCTAGACGTACATCCTTATGAGGCATACATAAAAGAGAAAATGTGTGAGTAAGTGGATGGAAAAAGAAATAAAATGCAAATTCTAACCCAAGTATTTGTCAGTATAAATATGACAATATATTAAATGTGAAGCCATAAAATAAGGAATAATTCACAAGGAAGATATCTAACAGTTCTAAACTCATATGGACCTAACAGCATAGCCTTAAAATATATAAGCAAAATATAACAAAATATGACAAGGCTTAATTAGAAATGTGTAAATACACGATTGGGGTGAGAGATGTTAAGAAAACTCGCTCTGCTATTGACGGATCCTAGACATAAAATCAGTAAACCAGCTGGGTGTGGTGGCTCATGCCTGTAATTCCAACACTTTGGGAGGCTGAGGCGGGTGGATCACTTGAGGTCAGGAGTTCAAGACCAGCCTGGCCAACATGCTAAAATCCTATCTGTACTAAAAATACAAAAATTACCTAGGTGTGGTGGCAGGTGCCTTTAATCCCAGTTGCTTGGGAGGCTGAGGCAGGAGAGTCACTTGAACCCGGGAGGCAGAGGTTGCAGTGAGCCAAGATTGCACCATTGTACTCCAACCTGGGCAACAAAAGCAAAAGTCTGTCTCAAAAAAAAAAAAATCAGTAAACCATAAAACACTGGAACAAGAACATAGTGTGATTGACTTGAAGGTCATGTACACATCCTTTAAGCAAGTAGTTCCGGAATGTGTGTTTATATAAAGGAAGATTTTCTTCATGGGAGGTTCTGTATGGCTGATGGATGCCCATAGCCAGATGGTCCTCAGGGTACCGATGGGGCAGCGCATTTGTGAGAAACATTTGAAGCGCTTTTCCCCAGCCTCCTTGGCACTGCGTGGGTGGTGGAGGCTCTGCACGGTGCCTTCTTTGGAGCACGCCTGGGGCTCCGCGTGACAGCGCCCTCCGTGGAGCACTCCTGGGGCTCTGTAGGGTCCTGAGCATGGTTCAGATTTGCCTCCACCCCTAGCTCTAGATGATTTGGTAAAATCACAAATGGGCATACAACAGCCCCCATCGAATTCTAAAGTTTTCATTTCATTTTGGAATTTATGTACTCAGATGAAATGATTTATGATGATGTTGAGAATGGGGATGAAGGTGGAAACAGCTCTTTGGAATACGGCTGGAGTTCGAGTGAATTTGAAAGTTACGAAGAGCAGAGTGACTCGGAATGCAAGAATGGGATTCCCAGGTCCTTCCTGCGCAGCAACCACAAAAAGCAAGTATGTGCCCCTTGTGCGTGTGAGGGACAGGGCTGTCGCATTAACATGCCCGGGGGCTGTGAATACGATTGTGATCCGCCTAGTGCTTAATAGTGATTTGTTAAGATGCTGATATGTAATTTGGGGAAAGCATAAGACATTGCCAAAGGAGAAGACGTCTAGTTTCATATAGTGAGTACCGTCGTAGAAGGATTTGGAAATTAAACTTCTGTAAATCACTCAAAAGGTTTTAAGTGAGCTCACTACCTTGAATACTCTAAGAAAGCAGTTACTCTCTGGCTTGCTTGTGTTTTCATGCATTATGTGCTTTGCACGTAGCAGCGTTTGCACGTCGGTAACTGCAGAACACTGAATAGATGGCGGGATTCCCTGAGACGGGGCACAGCTGCACTTTGCTTTAAGTGAGGTTTTGAACCTCAGCATGTTTAGCATGCTAAAGGAAGTTGTAAAAATAGAAGATGTTAAGGGACAAAAGCTCCTAAGCCACCCTGTGACAATCCTTTCTTTTTTCTTTTCTTTTTTTCTTTTTTTTTTTTTTTTTTTTTTTTTGAGATGGAGTCTTGTTCTGTCTCCCAGGCTGGAGTGCAGTGGTGTGATCTCAGTCCACTGCAGTCTCTGCCTCCTGGGTTCAAGTGATACTCCTGCTTCACCTCCCAAGTAGCTGGGATTACAGGTACCCGCCACAGCACCCAGCTAATTTTTGTACTTTTAGGAGAGACGGGGTTTCACCATCTTGGCCAGGCTGGTCTCGAACTCCTGACCTCAGGTGATCTGCCCACCTCAGTCTCTCAAAGTGCTGGGATTACAGGCGTGAGCCACTGTGCCCAGCCTGATAATCTTTTCTTAAAGGGAATTTTTATTCCTTTTTTTTTGGTGGAAAAGTCTTGAGGTTAGGGTGCAAGCTGGAACGTCAGAGCTGTAAGGTGTGAATTCTGGAATTCGGTGTTGTGAAGCATGGAACCTGGGAACGGTTCAGCTGAGGCACATCCCAGGTGTTGGTGGTGCCAGCCATGCCACATGCTTTTTGTTGTTAGAGTTTTTCCTGACTCTTTGCAAAAGGATAGATTTGTGCTCATTGACAGTGATGTCTGTGTACTTTCTGTGTGAGGCTGAGATGGAAGCCACATGCAGTCCTCGTCTGAGGCTGGCCAGTCCCGTGTTACTGATACAAATGGTGACCGGATGCCACCATAGTGACAGTTGGCGATAACTGGTTCTATCTTGCCCGTCTCCTAGTAACCCCCAGTAAGCAGAGATTCCATTCCTGGACATAGCTGCCACATCCTTTCGGTTTACAAGTGATTATGGGTTGCCTAGAATTCTCATATCCTGCTTTGTAAAACTCAAGGAGAATCCACCAGTTCATGGCGGTCAGCTCACCTCCCCAGTATCGTTCACAAGTTCTTTCAGGAACTTGGATATTTTGTGTCACCATCATTATTACAACTGCAATTTAAACAACCAGTGAAACTGCAATTGTAGTTTTTGTTTGTTTATTTTTTTTGAGATGGCATCTTGCTCTGTCACCCAGGCTGGGGTGCAGTGGTATGATCTTGGCTCACTGCAACCTCCACCTCCCGGGTTCAAGCAATTCTCCTGCTTCAGACTCCCAAGTACCTGGGACTACCGGTGTGTGCCACCGTGCCCAACTAATTTTTGTATTTTTAGTAGAGATGGGGTTTCACCATGTTGGCCAGGCTTGTGTCGAACTTATGACCTTGTGATCCACCCACCTCAGCCTCCCAAAGTGCTGGGATTACAGGTGTTAATCACCGCACCCAGCCAGCAATTGTAGTTTTTAACAGCTGATAACTAAGATGATATTTAACTTGCTGTAGCTGAGTCAGATACTTGATTTAAACTGAGATTTAAGAAGAGTGCTGGGCTCTGATGTCACAGGTGGAGGCTCGGTGTGTGCCTTGGAGTGTGGGTTAAATACTCTTGGGTTTTGCCTTTGGGCTGTGGACAGAGGGCCCAGCCACTGAGGAGCTCAGAGGGATTAGTAGTCATTCCTTAGTAGTAACTCAGGAGACCCTGCCCTTGCCTTGGAGCAGACCTGTGTCCCAGAGGAGCGCTTCACTTCCCAGGCAGTGCCAATGGCTCAGTAGCCCTCCCTGCTAGGGGAAGGAGCCAGGGAAAGCCAGCACACAGTGGGTTTGTGGTGCAGGATGACGATCCAGGAGCGCTGGGCTCTGCATTTCCAGCCTTTCCTGTGCCTCCATGTTGCCGGGACAGTGGCCTGGACTGGGGGTGGGAGTAGCAAGTGAGGTGCAGACAGGGCGCCTGGGGTTACGCCTGTACCGGCTGGTACCAAGTTTTCTAGTTTAAACGGTCACAATTTTAAAATGACCAAAATAAAACTATATGTTCAGAAATCATCTCAAAAAGTCTTGAATTTTATTAGAAACTTCCTAAAGTATCTGTGGCATGAGGAGTGCCCCCAGAGCAGCAGTGGCACCTCAGCCGTGTGCATCTGAAGTGTCTGTGACCACAGGGAGAAGGATCCGGGGGGGCCCAGTCCATCAGTTCGAGAGCAAGTGACCTCAGGTTGGAGACTTGAAAATCCATGCTGCTATCCTCAAAGTGTGTCATCCTCAGTACAGCTTAAATACAAGTATCTTTTGTTTGGATAAAAGAAGAATTTTATGTGTATTTTATACATTTGATAATTTCGATTCCACCACAATGTAAGCGAATGATTTCACAGATATTTTGTGTGCGTGCATTTGCCCCTTTCTGGCACGGAGAAGACGCCAGTTTGGTGTCTGGATCGTGTCTGTCTTTTGATGCCATTGATGCCATGTTTAACTCATTTCTGTATTCATCTCCTTTTTTTAAATTTTTTTTTTTTGGAGACAGGGTCCTACTCTGTCACCCAGGCTAGAGTGCAGTGGTGCCATCACGGCTCACTGCAGTCTCCGCCTCTCAGGCTCAGCGATCCTCCTACCTTGGCCCCCTGAGTAGCTAGGACCACAGGCATGCACTACCCTGCCTGGCTAATTTTTGTATTTTTAGTAGAGACAGGGTTTCACCATGTTGCCCAGACTCATGTTGAACTCCTGGGCTCGAGTGATCCTCCCGCCTCGGCCTCCCAAAGTGCTGGGATTACAGGTGTGAGCCGCAGCGCCTGGCCAACTATTTGCGGGTTTCTCTCTTAAGGACCCACTGGGCTAGTAATCAGGGCTCTTGCGTGTGGCCCGAGGAACCCCCAACCGGGAGAGGCCTGATGTGCCACGGCAGATGCTGGCAGAATCCTTTCAATGTAAAATTGTCCCAAAAAACCAAAAAGAGCCTTTTTGTGAAAAGACTGTGTCTCTTTATGCTGTAGCTTTCTCATGACCTAACCCGTTTAAAGGAGCACTATGAGAAAAAGATGAGAGATTTGATGGCAAGCACGGTGGGCGCGGTGGAGATTCAGCAGCTCAGGCAGAAGCATGAACTGAAGGTAGAGTCTCGCCCCCAGCCACTGGCCCCACTCGCCGGGCGGCAGTAAAGAAAAACCACGTGGCTCGGTCAGTCCTTGCTGTCTGAACAGCGGTTCTCAAAGGATGGTCCAGGGGCTTCTGGAATCCCCCGACGCTTTGGGGCTCCCCTGGACTCTGAGACGCTCTGTGCCTTTTCACTCTCTTCCTTTTACAGGGAGCCCAGGGACATCCTGGAAGCTGCGCAGCGTGTGGCCTCACACCCGGCAGAACGCCGTCAGGCTGTCTACATGAGAGCGGTTTCCAGAAATGCACAACAATGCCCCTTTCTGTTTGTTTTGGAAAATACAGCAATTTTTCATGGATGTTATTAAAAATAACATATAATAGGTTGATTCTTTTTTAAGTGAACATTTATAAAAATATCCAAAATTTTTCAGAGTTTTAACTTCAAATGCAATAAATATTGACACATAAAGCCCAGGTAAACGAAAGCCATTTGGGCTCTCAATAATTTTTAAGAGCATCCGGGGCCCCTGAGACCGGAATGTTTGAGAACTGCCGATGTGAATGTGGTGACGGTCTGTTCTGCACGATGTGTTTTAAAAGGGCACTGTCAAGTACTTTCTCCTGCAGTTTAATCTTTTATCCTGCCGGTATTTGTGTTGTTCCTGTGTGTTGAATGGCACTCACTGGGAAGGGATGCGGGCTCCACGCTCCTTCCGGAGCCGCCGGTTCATCCATCGTGCTGTGCTCTGGCTGCCCCCGGGAGCCACGCTGCCCCTCACATCTGGCGTCCAGCTGGCTCCCTGGCAGGGCGTCTGATGAGATCTGCCTGAGGTGTCAGGGTTCTGGGGTAGCGGGCACTGTGGCGGGGTTTCCGAGGAGCAGAGGACACCGTCAAAGCCATGGGAGGGGTGGGTGGGTTACATTTGCAGATTCTCACCGACACAGGGAGTGCCGGGGCTGAAGCAGCCGAGGACACTGTGGGAGGCGGAGAAGGAAGGCCAGGAATGCAGCTGGGCCGGGCCCAGCATCCTCACTTCCCCTTGTGGGAGCAGCCCGTGTCAGCCCTGACAGCCAGGAGACCTGGCCGGGGGTGTGGCCCGGAACCCCGGGGTCTTACCTGCTCTGCGTGGACATGGGGCTCCAGGAGCATGGCCACGTTCCCGTCTGTCAGCTTGCAGTTCTCTGATCCTCTGTTCGGCGACCCTGATGGGGCTGGCTGGAAACCAAGGGTTCCCAGCCCAGATCTGCGGTTGAGAAAGAGCAGGATGTGGACAGGCCGTGTAGTAAGAGGGGCGCAGGTGGGCGCCAGGGCTCTCTGCAGCATTGGGCAGGAGGCAGCGGGCCTGGGCCACAGGGGCTGAGAAATGGCAGCAGGACATGGTCCTTCGTGGAGTTGGGAGACGCAGGAGCGGGAGAGCCTGGGGGGCCGTGATGTTAGCGCCATTCCCGGGGGACAGCGTTGCAATCGATGGAGATGGGCTGGGGCCGTCGACACGGGTGTGAGGCCAGGCGTGCTGCACGGTGTTCATGGGAAGGCAGCCTTCAGGCGTTTGGAAGTCAAGGGCAGGCAGACGTGACCAGGGCTAGAGCGACACTGTCTGCACGCTGGCGCCCAGCAGCCCTGCTCCTCCCTCGTGTGACCCAGAGTGCAGGGAGTCCCATTCTTACCTGCATTGCTGGTCCCTCGAGAGGTCCCTGGGATGGGGACGTTGGTTGTCTCATAAGAGGTCTTCTTTAAAAGACAAATCACTCAGCATCCAGTGGCCATTACCTCAGTTGTTGGGTTTTTAAGGGATAAGAGATCAGATGGCAGGAGACGGCTCAGACACCCCTGAATCCAGGCAGCTGAGAATGTCCAGCACAGCTCTGGCTGAGGAAGTGGAGGCCGGGATCGGAGGCCAGGGGGATGTGGCCTCCAAGTCTGATGTTCGCAGCGTGCCGCATCCGACCCTCCCTCAGGTGTGTCCATGCGTGTCTGCGGCACTTGCCGGGGCCTTGCCTTCAGCCCGTGGCTGGGCCTGGGTCCGTGTGACCATGCGTGTGAAGTGGCCCTGTCAGCAGCTGGCCTGGCCCCAACGTGGGGTACGGTGGGAAGCCCCGAGGAGAAGGTGGAAAGGCTGAACTGGAGCTGTGAGTCTGCAGTTGGTTGTTTTGCCATTTAATTTCAGGCGAGCCGTTTGACATTTGTGCACATTAGCGACTCACCTGTCACCTACACGTAGCTCTTTGTGTGAGTGGGTCACATATAATACTGTAAATGGAGCAGGGAACATTTTTAAGCACATACAGGAAGGGCTGTGCTTTTAAAGTCGGTTTGTTCCTTTTTTCCAACAAACAAACAAAAAAAACTAGCCCAGAACCGCACATGACACACACGCTCACAGGAACCAGACTACTTGACAGTATTCTTTTAAAAGAGGCAGATGAATGCAGCAGGTGGGTTCTGCCGCCACCCCGTTCTCACATCTCCCTCTCCATCGCAGATGCAGAAGCTCGTGAAGGCCGCGAAGGACGGTACCAAGGACGGGCTGGAGAGGACCCGGGCGGCCGTGAAGAGGGGCCGCTCGTTCATCAGGACCAAGTCTCTCATCGCGCAGGGTCCGTGCCTGCGGGTCTTCCTGTGGGGAGGGCATGGGGTCGGGGATGGCTGCGCAGGCTCCCACAGCCTCGGGGAGCACCGGCCTGCTCAGTGTTCGGGTCTGGCTCAGCCCTGGCCTCCCTGTCCTGTGGGGGTGGCGTTTTAGGCCAAGGGTGCCCAGCAGAGAGGTGTCATCGAGAGTCACTGGCTGTGCGTAGGCAGGGCTGCGCGGGCAGCCGCCGGCGAGCGGAAACTCGTGGCCAAGCTTCCCCTGCTGTTTGCCGCCCCCTCTCGGCAGCAGGTGGTCTGTACCCCCTCAGGCCTCACCTCATGCTCCTCCCGAGTCCCCTCAGGGGTCCAGGGGCCTCTGTCACTGTGTATTCTTAGCAGTGGACTCTGTCTTTACAGCACATCCGGCCCTCCCGGGCATAGTCCTGCAGGGACTGGGATCGTGAGTGTTCTGAATGGGGATTTCAGGAACGTTGTCCTTGGCGAGGAGAGATTTGGAATGCTAGCTGAATTTTCAGGGTTTTCTAAGAATCTCATGAAGGGGCAAGTGGTCTGTGCAGTTATGTGTGAAAAAGGCAGTTGGTGTGGAGGTGTCGTGCATGGTGGCAGCAGGCAGGAGGATGGGGTCATTCACTGTCTGAGGAAACTTCTGGAGCCCTCGTGCACTGATGTCCTAAGGCAGAGTTCTGGGAGGGCGGTTGAGAGTTCACTGTCCCACAGTGGTCGCCGCGACTCTGACCTGGTGTTTCCTGGTCGTGTGTCCAGCTTTCTGACGTGCCTGTGTGAGAAAGGTCCGGGCGTGGGTAGCGTTTGCTGATGTCTGTACTTGAAGGGACTTTACATCCACAGGTTCCCTCCGGGAAGGCCTTGGGTACTGTGTGTGTGTAATTGGCACAACACGGTGTAGCTCAGGAAGCCTCTTTTCTTTCAGTCCCGAAGCCCTCAGCATCTCAGACAAGGTGGGGGAGAGCTATCAGCATCCCCGAGGGGTTGTTCCGGTTATGGAGACAGACAGGTGCATTCTAATAAAATGTGTTATGATATTGTGCCCTGATGGCAGTGCCATGAGGTGCCCGGGACAGTGAAGGACAGCCTTTGAGGAGGCGGCCATATTTACACAGCATCTGGAAAGCGCAGCCAGGCTCTGTCCCGCTAGGAGGTTGGTATTTGGGGCTGCATTCATTGCCTCGAGGAGTGTGTCTGCCCGCCAGCAGCAACTTCCTGACTGGGACCCAGATTTCGGGAGCTGATCAGCACGGCCCACTCGGGGCCCCGTGCCCGACCTCCGAGCCGGGATTTGCAGGCTGGTGAAGTCCCCCAGGATCAGACGTGTGGGACAGTCTGAGAAGCCCTGATCCAGGCTCTGAAAGGTCACGCTTTGTCTCTGGTTCAGGGAAGGCACGTTTTGGGGGATCAGTTGGAGACAAGCAGCAGTTTAATAGGCAAATCCCGAAACCCTCCAGCCTTAGTTTCCTGTGCCGTAAAATGAAAGGCTTGGACAGAATTTGTGTTCTTCGTCCTCGTTGTACATAGTAACTAGAAATCTTTTAAAATGTGCTGGTGCCAGGCCCTCCTTCCCTGGCCTATCAGTTGATTTCTAAGAAGTCTGGGCATCAGTAGGTTCTGAAGCCCCTTAGAGATTTTTCTGTGCAGCCAGGGTTTCGGGTCTTTGAACTAGAAAAATTCAGGTTTCTATCCCCTAAAAGTTCTCGTGCTTTCTGATTTCTAGCTATTTTGTGGATTCTTTAACGTAGTTAGCTGTATTTTAACAAATGAACATAGGCTGGGTGTGGTGGCTCATACCTGTAATCCCAGCACTTTGGGAGGCCGAGGCAGGTGGATCACCTGAGGTCAGGAGTTGTAGACCAGCCTGGCCAACATGGTGAAACCCTATTCTACCAAAAATACAAACAAACAAAAATTAGCTGGGCATGGTGGTGGGCATCTGTAATCCCAGCTACTTGGGAGGCTGAGGCAGGAGAATCGTTTGGACCCAGGAGGTGGAGGTTGCAGTGGGCCGAGATCGTGTCATTCCACTCCAGCCTGGACGACAAGAATAAGACTCCATCTAAAAAAGAAAAAACAATGAATGTAAGTGTTTTCTTGTTTTTTAGAGATAGGTTGTCACTCTGTCACCCAGGCTGGAGTGCAGTGGCACAACCACAGCTCCCTGTAGCCTTGACCTCCTGGGCTCAAGTGATCTTTCTGCCTTAGCCTCCTGACTAGCTAGGTGAACAGGTATTCCCCACCACACCTGGCTAATTTTTAAATTTTTTGTAAAGATGGAGTTTTGCTGTGTTGCCCAGGCTGGCCTTGAGCTCCTGGACTCAAGAAATTCTTCCATCTCGGCCTCTCAAAGTGCTGGAATTAGGGGAGTAAGCCACCAAGCCCGATTGTGAATTTAGTTTTTGTTTAAACTGCTTGAGTTTTGAAAAGCCGTGCTTCTTAAGGCGTCCAGTGAGAGAGGTGCAAGAAATGTAGTGAGTGGCACCTCAGTTTTCACAGACTTCTGAGTATTTGTTCTTAGCCGTTCTTAGCTGTTTCCTTGTTTCTGATTGTGATATGTTACAGATTAAAGAACTAGAATGCTTAATTTACGAAAGAATCTAAAATATTAAAATTCCAAAATATTGCCATTTTCCTATCTAGCTATTCAAATGGCACCTCTCCCTTTTGAAGTTAAACTTCAAATACCCCTTGAGGCAGTGAATACAGCCCCAAATCGCAGCCTCTTCACTGGATAGAGCCTGCCTGTGCTTTCCATAGGCAGACAAATACTGTAGTATCCTGTGGAAAGAATATTTTATTGGAGTTGTTAAAAATTCAACTTAATAATAGCTGAGTATCAAGTAAGCATGGAAAATTAAAAGCTCTACATAAAATATTTGACCGCTTATTTTACTGTACTATAGTGTTCTGAATATATTATTTCAATGTAAAACTTGTGCATTTTGACTTCTTTTAAGATCACAGATCTTCTCTTGAGGAGGAGCAGAATGTGTTCATTGATGTTGATTGCAAGCACCCGGAAGCCATCTTGACCCCTATGCCTGAGGGTTTGTCTCAGCAGCAGGTGAGATGAGCAGAGCTGGCAGAGCTGTGCTAGTTTTTAAAATATCTGTATGTGTGATGCTGGTTGGTAAATATCTGCTGTCTTAAACTCTGCGTCTACTCGGGTGCTCCACTGTAGGCTCCTGGCCCAGCACTTATTTCCTTCATGCTGGGCTCAGCAGGGGTCTGGGGGGACTGTGGTCAGCAGCTGTGGCCTGGGCTCAGGCTCTTCTGGTCCTGAAGTATTTTGGACAGCACCCCTGAGTGTAACTGTGAGAAGCGGGCAACTTGGATTCTTCCTGGGAGTCAGTCACACCAGTTTGGACTTTTACAGAGACAGCGTGTGGGTGTGTAAGGTCAGTATGTGTATGTAGCTACCTGAGACTGAAAATGACAGATTTTCAATAACGAATGAAATCTGAATTTAATACATTTCTTAAAAATGTGATACTTGGTAGCAAAAGGGAAAAAAGTCAGTAGGTTTTCTTTGATTGTCTTTGGGTAAAAGGAAGAGAAAACGCAAGGAACCCGAGTGATAACCCCAAGTCTGCAGACCTCGAGGAACCAGAGTGATAGCACTGAGTTTTCAGGCCTTTAGCAGCAGGGCTGATGCTTTGGGATAACGGGAGTTGTTTCCCACGTGGGCAGAGGGTTGCAAGTCATGCACACCAGGGCGGATAGGCAGACACATGCGTAATCATGGATCTGGGTAGATCCTTGATACACGTAGGCAGATGGAGCAAGACAGAGCATTGTCCGATGAAAGAAAAACAACATAGAACTGCTTAGTGACAAAGCCAGAGTTTAAAAAGAGATGAAAAGAGTTACCTGCTGTTCGTAATTGGCCAGGCTGAAATAGGAGGCTTACACCTGATTTGCATTGAGCAGAGATTACTGAAGTATTGTTTCGTCGGCAGCATCACACGTGTGACGGGATGAAGCGTGAACAGAGCTTGGGAGACAGCTGAGCGCCTGTGACCCACGGGTGCATCCTCTGTGCAGGCCCTGTGCTGAGCCCCTGCTGTTTCTGTTCCTGTAATCCTCCCAGATGCTCTCACTGTCCTTATTTATTCTGTAAGGAAGCCTGTGCTCGGAGGAGGCTGATCGTCCTAACCACGTCCTCTAGCTACGCGAGGAAGGGCTCGTGTCTGCCTTCAGTCTCCCGATCACAGCCTGCCCCTACCCCGTCTGTGCGCACTGGGGCCGTGGGATCCTGGCTGCCACATGCCACAGGGGGATGGTTGACAGCCTTTACCAGGAAAAAAGGATCCAGTGCTTTCTCCTGTGCCTGCTGTATGGCTCATCAACCTCACTGCAGACTCAGGAGTTACAAAGGGCTTCATGGCTGAACACTTCTTGCCATTCCAATGAGTCGCTCAATAGGATGACGCCCTGGGCAGTGCTCTAATATTTGGGGCCCTAACCACATGTGGGGTCCCCGTGCTGGGGAGGAAACGCCATGAGAGAGGGACTTGGATCCTCACTCTGAGAACTTAGTGTAGTGGGGAAGCCTGAAACCAAAAACCCTAAAATCAAGGAAAAGCCAAGAGGAAATGCTGCTGATGTTGGTGGCGAGGGCTGTGGGGCACGGCTTCCTAGTGGACGAGGGATGAGCTAAGCATCATAGCAGGCGTAGAAGTGACTCAGGACCAGAGGAGCCAGGAGCCCAGAGCACACGTGGCCCAAGCCAAAACAGCAGCCTGAGCTGCAAACCAGTGGGCAGGGGGAGGCTGAGCACCCGGGAGAGGACTCGGGGCCCTGAGTGGGGGAGACTCTGTGAGGAGACACGAGTGGGGCGCGCGTCTGTGAGGAGACGCTGAGTGGGGTGAGTGTCTCTGGAGACGCTGCATGGGTGAGTGTCTCTGGAGACGCCGCGTGGGTGAGGGTCTGTGTGGAGACGCCGCGTGGGTGAGTGTCTCTGTGGAGACGCCGCGTGGGTGAGGGTCTGCGAGCAGACAGCGAGTCGTGGGTGCGGGTCTGTGAGGAGGCGCTGAGCGGGGCACAGTCTCTGTGGAGATCCTGGGTGGGATGTGATGTTCTAGGAGAGGCTGAGCAGCGGTTAATCGGGTGTGGGCAGGTATCAGAGGAAGGACGGTGGGACCTTTTTGGTGGACGGCACGTTGGTCAGTGTCTGTATTGGGCACGGATTTTGTCGGAGTTGGTTGGTGAGGATTTGCAGGCTGTTTTTAGTTGTTTTATGGTATCTGTAAAGGGGTTAAGCTTCCCAAATTAGTCTCGGATCTGGATGCAAACCCGAAGTTTTTTGCTCTGAGTATCTGGATGTCTTTTATCCATAGTTAATTTCTGATGTTCTGTTTTCGTTTTTTTTAAAGAGTGGATTTTAATGTCTTCTTGCATCTTGCTCATCACATAATAATCGTTCACTGAAGTAATGTATAGGGAGGACTTCGGGGATGTTAGCCGTCCTGTCATCTTCAGTGCCGCTGGGATCGTGATGAGAAGCTTCTTAGTATTTAGAATTTCGCTGTTTTTCCAGCCAGCTTTCTTTATTGCAGTCACGATTCACATCGATTATGTATTTCCTCCTACCAAGTGTGTTGTCCATGGGAGTTTTCTCTTTGATTCTTGTTCTCCTCTAGGATTGCATTAAGGGAAACATAACTCTTAAATGCTGTATATTAAACATTCTTTGCATGCCTAATTTGGGGGTGGTAAAAGGAAAATGTTCTTTTTGAAATACAGAAGGGTTGCCCTTTACTTGGAAAGTTCCGTTGATTCCGGAGGACAGAGGATCCTGTCCTGTCCCCCTTCCTGGTGGGGACATGAGGAAGGGCAGGCTGGGCCAGGCCCAGGCACCACCTGCAGCTGTCCATGCTCGGGTCCGGGAGCCCTCTGATTGTCCTCCAGCCCTGGCTTTCTATAGTTGCCCTGTGACCTTCATGCCAGGAACCCTCCCTGTGGGGCCTGCCTTCAGGATGGATTTCTCCTCTGTGACCTTTAGGTCAGGGTTCTCAGAAAGAGTGTCAGCACTGGAGGCTCCCGACCCACCCCTTAGTGGGCATGTAATTCCATGTGTCATATTGAACTGCCAAAAAGACTGACATCACGTGCAGTAGCCAAGAAACCTGGGAGACTGGTTTTCTTTTTATATTTTAATATTATACCTATTCCAGATCTTTTGACCTCGTATGACAATATTATCATCTCAGGACTTTAAACTATGTGTGTGTGTGTGTGTATAATATGTATATATAAACAAGTAAATTCCTGTTTGACCCCACAACTGTGACTCAGGAGCCTTGGCATAGTAGTGTCTGGGAATCTGAATTTCAGAACAAGACTGGCCTGGGCTTGATGATGGGAGGGGTTGCTTGGCCTTTGGGTTCTAAGCTCTCCTTTGAAAGGGAAGCCTCTGTTCTGACATTTCCTGTGAATCAGTCAGCAGCAACTGCTACAGCTTCCCAGATTCTAGAGTGTGTGTTTGTGTGTGTGTGTGTGTGTGTGTGTGTGTGTGTATTTTTAATCCCAGCCACATCTGCATGTTTTAATATATCAGTTTCTTTTTTGGGTATTTTAGAAGGGTTGATTTTTGTCTTTTGCGAATGGAATAATCCTTTCTCTAAAGAGAATAATCTCTGCCTGTTAATCATGCTGTGTAGAGATCTTGGTTGTCCTGCAATCTTCTTAACCGGAGAAATTTCCTTTGTGAAACATGCTCTTTGCCCACTAGGTGGCAATGTGGTCCCTTCAAATAGCATAACCCAGGGCTGCAGATAGCGTGGTAATACACTGGTGTGTATGTGTGTGGTGTGTTTATGTGTGTGCATATGTGTGTTATCTTGCATGTATGTGGGGAGGTGTGTGTAGGAATGTGTGTGTGTGTTTGGTGTGCCCGTGCATGTGTTCATACACATGAGTGTGTTATCTTGCATGTATGTGGGTGGTGTGTGCAGGGGTGTGTGTGTGTTGTACCTGTACATGTGTTCATATACATGAGTGTGTTATCGTGGATGTATGTGGTAGTGTGTTATGCATGTATGTGGGTGGTGTGTGCAGGAGTGCGTGTGTGGTGTACCTGTGCATGTGTTCATACACATGAGTGTGTTATCTTGCACATATGTGGGTGGTATATGCAGGGGTGTGGGGGGGCGGTGTACTCGTGCATGTGCTCATATGCATGAGTGTGTTATCGTGCATGTATGTGGGTGGTGTGTGCAGGAGTGTTTGTGTTGTGGTGTGCCCATGCATGTGTTCATATGCATGAGTGTGTTATGCATGTATGTGGGTGGTGTGTGCAGGAATGTGTGTGTGGTGTGCCCATGCATGTGTTCATATGCATGAGTGTATTATCTTGCATGTATGTGGGTGGTGTATGCAGGAGTGTGTGTGTGTGTGTGTGTGTGGTGTACCTGTGCATGCGTTCATATGCATGAGTCTGTTATCTTGCATGTATGTGGGTGGTGTGTGCAGGAGTGTGTGTGTGTGTGGTGTACCTGTGCATGCGTTCATATGCATGAGTGTGTTATCTTGCATGTATGTGGATGGTGTGTGCAGGAGTGTGTATGTGCGTGTGGTGTACCTGTGCATGCGTTCATATGCATGAGTGTGTTGTCTTGCATGTATGTGGATGGTGTGTGCAGGTGTGTGTGTGTGTGGTGTACCTGTGCATTTTTTCATACACATGAGTGTGTTATCTTGCATGTATGTGGGTGGTGTGTGCAGGTGTGTGTGTGTGTGTGTGTTGTACCTGTGCCTGTGTTCATATACGTAAGTGTGTTATGCATGTATGTGGGTGGTGTGTGCAGGAGTGAGTGTATGTGTGGTGCACCTGTGCATGTGTTGATATGCATGAGTGTGTTATCTTGCATGTATGTGGGTGGTGTGTGCAGGGGTGTGTGTGTGTGTGGTGTACCTGTGCCTGTGTTCATATGCATGAGTGTGTTATGCATGTATGTGGGTGGTGTGTGCAGGTGTTTGTGTGTGTGTGTGTGGTGTGCCTGTGCCTGTATTCATATGCCTAAGTGTGTTATGCATGTGTGTGGGTGGTGTGTGCAGGAGTGAGTGTATGTGTGTGGTGTACCTGTGCATGCGTTGATATGCATGAGTGTGTTATCTTGCATGTATGTGGGTGGTGTGTGCAGGTGTGTGTGTGGTGTACCTGTGCCTGTGTTCATATGCATGAGTGTGTTATGCATGTATGTGGGTGGTGTGTGCAGGAGTGAGTGTGTGTGGGGGGTGTGCCCTGTGCATGTGTTCATATGCATGAATGTGCATGCTGGTTTAGGAACAACTCCATTACCCTGTTTTGCTCTGTTTTCCATGAATTGGTAGATATCACTCGCTGGACTGTTTTGAGTGAGGAAAATGCCAGGTATCCTCACTGGCCTGTCATAGGATCTTAGAGCCACAAGCCTGTATTTGTATGTGCTTCAGTGATGAAAAGCAAAACAGAAAATAACGTCAGGTTTTAATTGAAAACATCTCAGATCATAGAGATTTTTTTTGCACCACTAAGTGACATGAGTAATTTACTGTCCACATTCTTGGCCTCATAGGTAGATCTTTGGATTGAAAAAAAAGAAATAATTGATCCCTCCACATGCCACAAACTTTGTTTTCCTGGAACTTTGGAATAAGGATTTTAAATAAGTGTTGCTAATAACATTCATTGATGAAGTTGAGCTATTTTTAATCCTTATTTCATATGAAATGTCATCTACTCAGATATTGGATACATAAAATACAACCAGCTAATTCAGTTTATTATCATTGCATAAGTGAAGGAATTTCTTTTCAATGCTGTAATTTTATTTGTCCTGCTGTAGTTATAGTTTATAGTTTCAGGTTTAACACATAATATAGTTGTATTAATGGGGCAAAGTATGTTTTGTACCTGTAATGTTGTTTAATTAGGTTACCTTTATGCATTGTTTTTTAAAAATAAAGTTATTTCTCAGCAAGCCTCAGCACAGAAGTAAAATTTATCTGTATGTATTATAAAGCAGTTTTCTATCACTGTACTTTCAAATTTCCAACAGGTTGTAAGAAGATATATACTGGGTTCAGTTGTCGACAGTGAAAAGAACTATGTAGATGCTCTTAAGAGGATTTTGGAGGTACTTAAATGTCATGTTACATAATACATACATTTTTATTCTTTTTATATATATACATTTTGATACATATATGCACACATGTTTATGAAACATAACATGCAAATTTGCAAAATTCTCAAAAGGATTTAAATAGAATGTCTGTATATTGACATCAAAAGTCATGATTATTTTGAAATAAATATAATTTATGTAAGTGAATATTTACATTCATTTATCTGAGCTTTAAAAACGTTTGGGCTGGGTGCAGTGGTTCAAGCCTGTAATCTTAGCACTTTGGGAGGCCAAGGCAAGCAGATTGCCTGAGCACAAGAGTTTGAGACCAGCCTGGGCAACACAGTGAAACACCGACTCTACTAAAATACAAAAAATTAGCCAGGCGAGGCGATGTGCACCTTTTGTCCCAGCTACTCAGGAGGCTGAGGCAGGAGAATTGCTTGAACCCAGGAGGCAGAGGTTGCAGTGAGCTGAGATGGCACCACTGTAGCTTGGCTGACAGAGTAAGACTCCATCTCAAAAAAAATAAAGTCTGAAGCAGCTGGGCCCCATGGCACACGCCTATAGTCCCAGCTCCTCAGGAGGCTGAGGTGGGAGGATGGCTTGAGCCCAGGAGTTTGAGGTTGCATTAAGCCAAGATCGCACCCCTGCACTCCAGCCAGGGCAACAGAACAAGATCCAGGCTCTAAAAGAGAAAAGTCTAAACAGTCTTTGCTCACTTTGGTTTAGCAATATGAGAAGCCACTGTCTGAGATGGAGCCAAAGGTTTTGAGCGAGAGGAAGCTGAAGACGGTGTTCTATCGAATCAAAGAGATCCTGCAGTGCCACTCACTGTTTCAGATCGCGCTGGCCAGCCGCGTTTCTGAGTGGGACTCCGTGGAAATGATTGGCGATGTCTTCGTGGCTTCGGTAATTAAGCCGGGGTACCAGATGTCCCTGGGGCTCACCATGCATGCATCCTCTCTTCCCTTCTTAGGCTGATGTTCCGTCCCGAGCTCCTGCAAGCTGACAAGTGTGCCCTTCTCTGGGAAGGCCAGACTGAAGTTGCAGTGCCCTGGCCAAATGCGTGCACTAGGGAAATGATAAATGGCTATTTCCCAGGGAGACCGAGGCAGAAATGCAGGCACTCAGGACACAAACTGTATCTGGGGAGACTGAAAAATACGCCCTTTATCAAGTCTTGGGTGCCCCATTAGATGATTTGCTAAAGCTTTTTGTTGCTGAGCAAGGATGCTGTGTGTTTGGTAATCTTGTACAATGGCTGTTTTTAAGCCCTCACACAGGTTCTCTTCCTGACCTAGGTCTCACTTTTTGGGTGCAGACTTCTCTGTGCCTGGAAAAATAGAAAACGTGTGATGGGAAGACTCCTAGATGTTTTCTCAGACTTTTGCCCTTGGCTGTAGTTTCTGTTGTGTAGATGCAGGCAGTTGGCTCTGTGCTGTGACACAGGAACATGATGTTGCAACAGCTTGCATTCACACTTCCTGGCAGCAGACAGGGTGAGTGCCTGGAAACCGCTGCTGGTTTCTGCATGGGCAGTTTTGGGTCATTTTATCCATGCTCATATGAATCATATGATCATACTTACTATATATTGGTTGGAATTCTATCTAGCTGTAGGATTATGAGTTAAACAGATCGATTTCTGTAATTATTTGAGACTACGATGCTATCGAAGCGATATAAACTTGCAAGTTGAAAAAAAAAGCATTCCTCTAATTAAATGAATGCTGGAATAATAATATGTGAAATGTTTTCCTGTGTAGTTTGTATGTGTACTTGATGAGTTCTATAAATGCTTTGAATAAATATGGAAACAAAATTCTTACAAAGATATCTGCGTAATACCATTTATGGATCCTTAAAAAACAAAAGAGAAATATTGGATATTTATTTTATTGTTACTTTTTTTTCTGGCTATTTTATATATATTAGTTTGAACCTTGTCACTGTTCTTTAAATACCTACCTTGCCAATATTTTTTAAAATGCAAACAGATTTTTTTAAAATATAATTTTGATAAAAGCATTCCTGCTATCAATGCCAGTGACCCCAGAGCTCTGCCATCCATCCCAAAGGATTTATGGTTTCTTGGAACAACATGGAATGATTTTTCTCTTTGAACATTGATACCAAGGGCAAATGTTTCTGGATCTTGATAGAAAACCTTTGTGATTTTAGGGAAATGAACATGTGTAGGGCATTGTACCTTATGGTAGAGAAGCGGGATCAGCCCCCACCTCCAGCCTGTTTCTCAGGATATTGGGCCCACCGTGGAATGAGGTGCATGATATTCTACCTGGAGGTTGAACCCACCAAGTGAGACTTGGCAGGAACTTAAGGCAGGTTATCTGTAATCACTATCCATATTTGTCTGCAGTCAGAAACATTCTTAACTGAAACCCATATTACCTTGGTTTTGAACAAGGATGTCAGAAAGTACACTGGGTAAAAAAATAAGATCAAACCAGCAACTTAAACAACTACTAACATGCTTGCCTAAAGAAAAATAATCACACACTCATAATAAAGTTTATCCTAGGAAAACATCACAGTGACTGAAGGAGTATTTTTAGGGTGAGTTTCAAATCTTCTGTTTTATGTTAGAAAAGGGGTATCTGGACTCTTTGATTTCTCTCTGAATTTCCCCCATGTTTCAGTTTTCTAAGTCCATGGTGCTGGATGCTTACAGTGAATATGTGAACAATTTCAGCACAGCCGTGGCTGTCCTCAAGAAAACATGTGCTACAAAGCCTGCTTTTCTGGAATTTTTAAAGGTAAGCACATTTTTTTTTTCATTAGGGTTTTAACACCATCTGATAGCAAGTTCCGTGTCAAACCTTGGCTCTAAATACAGTTACTCATTATTAAGATTTCACTACCGGTAGTGCCCTAGGTATTGGATTAATACTAGAAATGAAGGGGAATTTTAGGTCCTAATGTAGCTTTTTGAAAACAATTTTAGGCCAGGCATGGTGGCTCACGGCTGTAATCCCAGCACTTTGGGAGGCTGAGGAGAGCAGATCATGAGGTCAGGAGATCTAGACCATCCTGGCCAACATGGTCAAACCCCATCTCTACTAAAAATGCAAAAAATTAGCTTTTTTTTGCATGGTGGCGTGTGCCTGTAATCCCAACTACTTGGGAGGCTGAGGCAGGAGAATCGCTTGAACAAGGGAGCCAGAGGTTGCAATAAGCCAAGATCACGCCACTGTACTCCAGCCTGGTGACAGAGCAAGACTCCATCTCAAAAAAACAAAAAGAAAACGGAAAAGAAAACAATTTCATTTGCACATCTGTAAAAGTGTATCAGTGTAAAGAAAGTTAAGGTCAGATCCCAAAGTTACCTTTTTTTTCCTGTTCAGTATGATATGAGGAATAAAAGAAACCAAACATCTGGATTCCAGGCCTCTTTGGGATCAGGGGATAGGCACAGGCCTGGAGAGTCAGAGCTAGAATGGGCCCTACCCAAGGGCTGTGTTCCTCCCAATGTTGGGGACAGGCCGATGGCCCTCCTGAGTGTCTCCGACCTGGCATTGATGGGGAGCCTGTCCCCTGGTGGGTGTGGGCAAGTATTATTTAATCAGCAGGCAGGCAGGGCTTTCCCTGTCACGAAGTGCATGTCCGAGGCTGTGTCCTGACGGTTGGCTGCACAGTGAACCAGACTGAAACCCCTTCAAAGCTATCCTCGAGCTGAGTCTCCTTTGTGGAGCCCCTCATTTGCATGATAAAACCGGGGACAAAGCGTGTTCTTGTTACTTGGACTGTTTCTTGGAAACTGCTGCTACCTGGAGCGAGTGAACACAGGGCAAGTATTCTCACCCACAACAACGTTTTGTTGAAGCTGGAATATTTTCCCTCTGCCTTATTCAGCACTGTGGCTCCCGCCCCTGCCAGAGCACAGTCTGTGGCCCACTAGGGTTTGCTAAGGGTTTGCTAAGGGATCGGGTCGCAGTTTCCACAAGGTTTGCTAAGGGATCAGGTTACAGTTCCCACTCTGGAGAGTTGTGGGCTCTTTCCTTTGGCTAGGGAAGCATTTCTTTCTCTTGGGGAAAGAAAACACCGACTTGCTTACCAGCTCCCTCCCTCTGGGGAGTTTGTTGTAGTCCTACTAAGGATGTCTGCCATGGCTGTGACCGCAGTGCCCATTCGTCAACTCCTCAGCTGCCACATGGCCCCATTTCATAGCTCCAGGACCTGAGCCCCAAAGAGCCGGGTGCCCTGTGAGCTGAGAGGCCGGGACACAGCTGGATCTGTGCTGTCTGCCCCCTGCACTGCGCAGCCTCTCAGCGGAGGGAAGTGGAGACGGCCCCCAGGTCAACATTGCCCGGCAGCCTCAGGTAGCAAATGGTCCCAACACACTCAGGAGAGGAACTCTCAGCCTCCAGGACATCCTTCTGCCCATGGCACCGCAAAAGGTTGCCAGCCTTTTCTGGGGGCCCACTGTGGCCAGAACACAGACACCCAGGGTCACCCCTGGAATTGGGCCTGGCCCTGGCCCGGAGAATTCATTCCAGAGCTGAGGTCGAGGTGTGAGGCCCGGGGCCTGCAGCAAGAGCAGAAGCCCTGATTTGGCCAAGTTTCTTCTTGTAGCTAAAGACAAGTTGCAGGCTTTCGACTTACCTGAGTATTCAGCATGGTGGGGAGGAGGCGGCCCCAGGGGTGGGGAGGTGACCCCGGCACCTTCCCCCACAGCAGGAACAGGAGGCCAGCCCTGACCGAACCACGCTCTACAGCCTGATGATGAAGCCCATCCAGAGGTTTCCACAGTTCATCCTCCTGCTCCAGGTGAGTGCTTCACGGCTGCCTTCTCACCATTGATTTGAAAATGGTGTCTGTTCCTCCACTTGAGAGTGGCCGCCTCTCAGGCTTCCCTGTCTCCTCTCTGGGCAGTGACAGCGGTTGGGGTAGAGGCAGATGGGAGATTTGTGGACAGTCAAAGTTGGGGAGCGGGGGCAGCTGCAGGCCCAGTGCCTGCAAGGCCGGCCTTGGGGGACAGAGTGGACGGGCTGCAGGGAGGGTGTCTGTGGGCCCTGGCTCCCCACATGTACCGTCTCATGGGGAACTAGCACTGGGGGGGCCACAGGTCACAGCTCCCTTCTCCAGTGTGCCTGTGTCTGGTCTAGAATCACATGAAAAATGACTCTCCCTTCTGTGCCCAGAGGGGACGGACAGGCTTGGAAAGCTAAGAATATAGATTTAAACAAAACATACCTGTCACTGATTTAACAGCAAATCACCCGAGGACAGGGAGAGGCCTCCATGGTAAAGACATTTTCCACTGGACCCTCCAAGGATCCTCAATTAGATGCCCTGGGGCTGTGAACAGTAAGCCTATTTGGACGGCCTCTAGGTCATGTCTGAGGCAGTCCAACCTTCCCACATACCCTGGAGGCCAGGTGACCCTGTAGGCTGCGGGGTTTAGCACACATTTTATTTAAATCAATGACATGCCTCCAGGGAGGATGTTTCAAAGGAAAGTCCATGCTGGCCTCTGCCGGTGTTGATTTTTCAATGGTAACTCAGCTTGCTTTTCTAATTAAATCAGAGGACTCAGCTTCGCCTGCCTGCTTATTAGAGTTGATTGAAGATAAACGGGTGGAATCATCGCCAGGAAGGGACTGGCACCTGGGAAAGAGTGTGACGTCCCCATCCACTGCGATTTTTATGTTTGACCAGCCAAATCGGTGACACAAGCTTTTTAAATAAAAATAGTCATAAAAGTATGAAAAAGGGCACACTCAAATGGGTCTTTCCGGGGTTAGGTTTATGGGTCATGTTAATTTTGTCCTCTCACTTATAGTTTAACAATGTACAGTTTACCTGTATTAGAGCATTAATAACAAAAACTTTTTTTTTCCTAAAATTAAAATATTCAAGTGTGTTTTATTCCTTCAGCTGACAACTATTTACTGAGTTCTAATCCACGTGAGACACTGTTAGCTTCCGGCAAGCAGCCACAGATGTGAAGAATGAGCTTCCTTGCAGTGAGGGAGGTTGATGCTTGGGAGGAAGGTGGTCAGGCTGCCTGTTAGACGTTGTTCAGCCACAGCTGGGAGGTTGTCGCCAGGCTGTGAAGGGACCAAATGCAAAGCTGCAGTGGCTCCTAAACCACTCGAGGTGAATCTGCCTGCAGGCCCTGTGTTTAAACCATACGAGATGAACCAGCCCACACACCCTGTGTTTAGCAACGTGCCAGGGAGTCCTTGAGTCGTTCCTGGTCGTCAGAGACTACAGCAAGCACTGTGTTGTGAGGTCACACATGTTGTTGGCTTTCTATGATGTATCAGAATACTTTAAAAATTTTTAATTTATTAAATTTGGATATAGCTTCCTTTTCTTTTTTTCTTTTTTTTTTTTTTTTGTTTCGCTGTTGTTACCCAGGCTGGAGTGCAATGGCACGATCTCGGCCCACCGCAACCTCCGCCTCCTGGGTTCAGGCAATTCTCCTGCCTCAGCCTCCTGAGTAGCTGGGATTACAGGCACGCACCACCATGCCCAGCTAATTTTTTGTATTTTTAGTAGAGACGGGGTTTCACCACGTTGACCTGGATGGTCTCGATCTGTTGACCTCGTGATCCACCCGCCTTGGCCTCCCAAAGTGCTGGGATTACAGGCGAGAGCCACCGCGCCTGTCCGATATAACTTTCAAATGAGCTTCTTAGGTTTTGGTTAAATGTAAGTAAATAACTACAAACCTTTTGCCTGGTGTTTTCCAAAATGTGTTCTGTTAGACAGAAGGGGTGGGTAGGGCTGTTGGAACGGGAGCAGGAGAGGGAGCTGCCGGGAAAAGCTCCACCGTGACCTTGAGGAGCTGTGAGCAGCTCGTTTCCATGTGCCTTCAGCCACCCTGGGGGAGGTCATTTTCCCGTTTTTTTATGGCTAGCAAGCTGAGGTTTAGGGAAGCTGGTGATTCTTGCAAGGTGACACAGCCTGATAGGAGTGCTGGGATTCTAACACGGTTGTCCAGCCGCACATCCAGCACACTGTCCGCACCCCAAAAGGATGCCAGCTGGGACTCCGGGGAGAGCAGCTGATGGACCATCGCAGAAATGCACAGTACACAGGCACGGCCCACCCGTTACATGCTGCGCACTTTACAAATCCGTTCTTGAGGAACTTTGTACAGTCTGTTCTTTTTTAAAAACATACTTCTAAACACTTAAGTTCTCTGAGGAAGAACATTCTTAAACTCCGAATTCCAGTTATATAATGAACTCTAGACCTTGGGTGTAAAAACACTTGCATTTAAAAAGATTGAACGTGCTCTTCCCGATCGCCAGCGACAGTTACCGAGGTCAGTTTGTGCACAGCTGTCTCCTTCCCCTCCCTCCCTGCCTCCAGAGACCCTCAGAATTTCCCACACAGGTTTCGTTGCCCTGAAGCAGCAAACGGGCTTCCTGATCTCAGGAAACAAATCGCAGGTCCTAGATATGCTGAGAGTTTTCCCTCAGGGACGTTTTTTTCTCACATTCAGTGAAAAGCTGGTGTGTCCTAGAGTGTCCTTGGAGGGGAGCAGGCTGGGTCCAGGTGCGCTGGAAGCAGCACAGTTGGAGTTGGAGACGAGGCGTTGTCTGCGTCTGGAATAATTACGTGGGTGTGCCTGAGGCGCCCGCCCTCAGGTGTGGGTGCTCGGGGTACCTGGGATTGGGTGAGGAGACGGACTGCGGAAGAGGCAGCAGGTGCAGGGTGCAAGCACACACCCTCCCTCCTGCCTTCTGCTGTGGTCCGTGTGCTGGGCACGGGTGGATGGAGAGACAGTGTGGAGGGGCCTGGACACCCTCTGTCCCTTTCCTCCCAGTGACTCCCCTGGTCTCTGCTCTCTGGTCCTGCCTGCTTTTTTCCTGGTTAGCCGTCCCAGACCTTCTAGCATGGGCGCTGTGAAGCCACAGCTGTCCCTGGCTCAGGCAGTGAAGCCGGCTCACCCTGGCTTTGTTGGGACTGTCAGTTTCTCCCATGGATCCAGAAACATCCATTGGCCCTGTGACACTTGTCTTTATCCCAGCTACCTTTTTCTCTCTGTTGTTGTGCAAAGATAAGTAACAGTTTCTGGTAACAACAGCAGCGAGAAGCTTGTTTTCTCTTTCCGTGGGTGCCCTCTTGGAGGCTGCTGGTTGGGTGGATGCCCCCAGCTGTGCTCAGTGGACCTGTGGCATGCTGGACTTCACCCTGTGCCAGCTGCTCTCATCATTGCATGCCAAGTCCCCAGTGGGTGCCCTCGTGGAGGCTGCCAGCTCATTGGGCACCACCGGCTGTGCTTAGTGGCCCCGTGGCATGCTGGACTCCACTGTGTGCCGGCCACTGTCACCATGGCATGCTGTGCCACCACCAGTGTGTGGTTTTAGTGCAGAACTAGTGTTAAGACTGTTCTTTTTTGTCTTGATAGAATTCGTTGTGACTCACAGGAAAACAAATGTATAGAATAGTTTATACTCACTGCAAACGAAACATTTGATCAATTATGCAGCTTTCCTTTCTAGATTTTTTTTTTTTAAAGTCTTAAAAAGGTCCACACGCTGTTGAATTCCGTGACTGCTAATATTCCTATAAACATGTAAAAGTTGGCAGGCAAGATACAGAACCACATTTTATTTTTTTTACTCTACGTTCTGGGATACATGTGCAGAACGTGCAGGTTTGTTACATAGGTATACTTGTGCCACGGCGGTTTGCTGCACCTACCAACCCATCGTCTAGGTTTTAAACCCAGCATGAATTAGGTATTTGTCTTAATGCTCTCCCTCCCCTTTCCTCCCACCTCCCCACAGACCCCAGTGTGTGATGTTCCCCTTCCTGTGTCCATGTGTTCTCATTGCAGAACCACATTTAGTTCTGAGAAAGTGTTTAAAGTTCATCTTTGCCCCTTCAGCAAACGTCAGCATGTCGAATGTGAACGCAAGCTGGGAAACAAAAGGCCCTGCATAAAATCAAGGTGACAAAAGTGTCCTTTTGTTATTCCCCTTTAAAGTCTATCTGGTGATTGGCAGCAGTTAAGTCTTTTTTTGGTGACTGTTGCTGTTGACTTGTGCCATGTCTCCCCCTTTTGACTTCCTCCTTATCTGAAACCTGAACAAGGAAAAGAGAGGTAGCTCAGCTCCCTTTTTTTACAGGCTACTTTTTAAGAGAAATTTTAGGTTGCCAGCAAAATTGAGTGGAAAATACAGAGATTTCGCACCTCCCCCTCCCCCAACACACACAGTCACCCCTGCCCCCACATCCTCGCCAGGGTGTGTTTGTGACAACCAGGAGCCTGTGTGGCCACGTGGCCACAGTCACAGGAGGGTGTGCCCCTGTACTGTGCATTCGGTGGGACAAACGTTTAGTGACGTAGATCCACCATTGTGTCATGCTGTGTCTTTGCTGCCCTAAAATCAGGTTCCTTTGTCAGTGTGAGAGAGACTGCATCCTGCTGTGTGAGTTGACACCAAGGGTGCAGTCTTCGGCACCACAGAACTCCTGCACATTGGAAATTGGGAGACTGAGCTTTTGAAGAAAGGAGCTGGGCCCATCTGCACGTGGGTTCATCTGTCCGACTCAGCTTGAGAAGGACAATCTATCAGCACCATGAGCATCGTTCCAAGTGCACAGCATTTCTGAGATTGTGGCTTCTTCACATTTAGCATGTCCTTTATTGTACAGTGCTATTTTTTTAAATTTTGTTTTTGCAAAGGAAGCTGTTCAGATGTTCAGCCAAGTCGTGACTCACTTAGCTCATCATCCCTTCCCGAGAACTGACTTTATTTTTCCCCAGGATGATGGATGCCACTGCCTCCTTTCCAGCTGCCAGCTGGTGGGTGACATGAGTGTCGTTGCATTGGATGTATGCACTTGGTAACTGCCCACCTCTCCCCTGTTGCTTGCAGGACATGCTGAAGAACACCTCCAAAGGCCATCCCGACCGGCTGCCCCTGCAGATGGCCTTGACAGAGCTCGAAACACTAGCAGAGAAATTAAATGAAAGAAAAAGAGATGCTGATCAACGCTGTGAAATTAAGCAAATAGCAAAAGCCATAAATGAAAGATACCTGAACAAGGTTGAGAGAGGTTTTTTCCAACTCTATTCCAACATTATTTTTGCTTTGTACTAATGAGCCATCGTTATCCAGCAATACTAATCTTTGGGATGGTTTGGAGTAATTCTTGGCCCAGAATTCCTAACTAGGGTCGGTGGAGGCCTTCAGGCGAGTCACAACATGGAAATTGTGTGTAAAACCTTCACAACCTGTCTGCATTTTTTTAGGAAAGAAATTCATGCTTTCATTAGACCCTCAAATGGATCCAGGACCCCCCAAGATGTTAAGAGCAACTCTTTTAGCTTAATTTTGCTTTCAAAATTTTGTATTTAATTTCAGATAGCAATAGTTAAAGCTGAAAATCTTTACAGGCTGGCCGCAGTGGCTCACGCCTGTAACCCCAGGACTTTGGGAGGCTGAGGTGGGAAGATTGCTGGAGCCCAGGAGTTTGAGACTAGCCTAGGCATGATAGTAAGACCCTATATCTAAAAAAAAAAAAAAAAAAAAAAATTAGATGGGCACAGTGGTGCGTACCTATAGTCTCAGCTACTTGGGAGGCTGAGGCCTGAGGATTGCTTGAGTTTGGGAGGTTCAGGCTGCGGTGAGCTGTTACTGAGTTGCTGCACGCCAGCCTGGGTGATAGAGCAAGACCCTGTCTCAAAAAAAAAAATATTCACCGACACTTTTTGTCTTCACCTATGTGTGGGCTAAGCTGTATGTACCATGAAAAGAGATGCTGGGCACAGATGGCAGCAGTTCATCTGCGAGGCTGCATTTCTGCTTTATGCTTATATAACTGGTGGCCTGCCGCAGTACTCTGATTTTATGTGGGCTTTCCCATGTTCATTTAAGGCCCTGGCTCACAGGGAGATGGTAATCTGTATGAACTTTGTTAAGTTCTCATATGTGATATTCATTGTTGCTAAAATCATTTTTTGTTTTGTCATTAGGAGTAGTTTCCGATGTTACAATAACATTCAGTAATTTAACTGTGTGAAATTTATGGTCATACATTTTAAGCCACGTGTTTTCCCTAATTCTCCAAATGATTTATGTAGGAACATTTATAAGCAGCAAATTGCATTCAGTTATGTTCTTGACGTGATTGATGTAATTTAAAACGTGCTCCCTGTAGTGCTTGAACCGAATACACGTGGGGCACAGAGCAAGCGCAGAGGCCCAGGAGGAGGTGATGGAGCACACTGAACGTCATCCCACGTTCATCATTCACGAGTACTTGGCAAGGACAGTCAGTGAGGCGGGTGTCCCCAGTTGCTCGAAGCTGAGCCACAGCATAGATTTAGAATAAAGAGGCAGCAGAGACCACCAGGGCTGAGGACTCTGTTTTCCTGTGGGCTGAATTGTTATAGAAGTATTAGCTGGGTGCGGTGACTCATGCAGGTAATCCCAGCCCTTTGGGAGGTCAAGGTGGGTGGATCACTTGAGGTCGGGAGTTCCAGACCAGCCTCACCGCATAGTGAAACCCTGTCTCTACTAAAAATACAAAAAGAAACAAATTAGCTTGGTGTGGTCCAAACGAAGTAGCTTGGACCTGTGGTCCCAGCTACTGGAGAGGCTGAGGCACGAGAATCACTTGAACCCAGGAGGTCCTGGGAGGTTGCAGTGAGTTGAGATCATACCACTACACTCCAGCCTGGGTGGCAGAGTGAGACTCTGTGTCAAAACAAACAAACAAAAACAGAAGTAATATGACCTTCTACATCACCTCATTTTATTGATTTGATAAACACAAAGCGTCTTTCTGAAGAACTGATGATTTTGGTTTGGCTTAGTGAAGTAAAATATGGCCTACCTTAAGAAGTTAAGATGGTCATTTAATTATGCTTGCTTAATTAGGTTTACTTGGGGAAAAGTAAAATTATAAAATAATTCCTTCCATTCCTCACTGTTCCTGGTTAATGTAAGTGTCGTAAATCACAGAAGGGTCGACTGTGCGGTGCAAGTGTGTAAGGAAGGAGGTGAATGTTTAGTGCAGTCATGGTGAACATAGGAATGGTGTCTGTAAAGCGTTCAGTTTGGAAAAGTCAGCCTCAGACTCATACAAGAGTTTCCCTCGTCTTTTTCTTTTTTGGGTAAACTCATCTGTGGTCCCTGCGTTGTGCTTTGAATGTTCAGCTTCTCAGCAGTGGAAACCGATACCTCATTCGATCGGATGATATGATAGAAACAGTTTACAATGACAGAGGAGAGATTGTTAAAACCAAAGAACGCCGACTCTTCATGTTAAATGATGTGTTAATGTGTGCCACCGTCAGCTCACGGTAAGAATGCCTTGAATTCTCTATAGTAGTCTTATCATTATATGTTACATTTGTCTGAGGGCACGTGAAAGATTGTTAATTCTGTCACTCAGACTGAACTGGTTTTTGTGCAAAAGCTTAGTCCTGTAACTAAGGGAACCCTGATAATAAGCAGGCTTATTTTAAAATAGACTCGGTGTAAGTCACCAAGTCACTGCTAGTAGAATTTAGATACGTATAGCTCTATTTACTTTTTAAACAGGGCTGATGGTGAAACTAGAAGCTAAATTGAATTTCTTCCTAACCCTCCTAAATCATTCCAGAGTTCTTTTTCTTATGGTTTAAATTCTCTCTTTACCTGCTTCTCTATAAATATGTTTTTGGTAAATATTTAAATATAATAAAGTTGGGTATATTCATTTTGTTGTAAACCAAGAAAATTAGTAGCACTTTTGTCAGTTCTTTTCACTCATAATAGTTTTACGTCAGACTCATTGTTCAACACATAGAATATTGTAGTTAGATGAGGATACCTAAGAAGCTAAAGCATCCTCAAATATAGGTAGATGATAAGGGAATTGATATAAAATTAACTATAACATCCCGGTGCTGTAGAAAATAATGCAAGTGAACGTGGTGCCAATTTGTTATGTTGTGCAAGAGTCAAGTGTTAGATTTTCCAGAGTTGGGAGAGTCGGTTGCTAAACCATTTGGTAGCTTAAAGTCACACCAGAGTATTTACACCGTGGAATTTGGCCAACAGGATGTGTCGGGAGCCTGTCCTCCCAGTGAGAGCCGGCTGTTAAACATTTGACAGCACACCACTAAATATGACTTATGTTTCATGCTCGTCACCCCCATTTTCCAGCTGCCAGGTGTATCTGCCCACCCTCCTCACCTTGCCTGAATGGCCCAGGCAGCCAGGATGTGCAGGTCAGTAGGCGAGAGCTCACTCGGACTCCTGAGCATGATCTCCAACTCCACCTTCTGTGAAATCTGAAAATTACCCATTCTGTCTACGCCTCGGACTCCTCATCCATACAATAGGGTTGATCATAAAAATAATGATGCCAGTGGTATGCTGCCGCAGGGCTCTTCAGGGGTCAGGCGAGGAGCTTCATGTTCATTAAGCTGCTGCAGGGCGCTGGGCGCACAGCACTACCCAGGAGTGATAGGTTTTCATTGTTGCTTCTCTTCATCCTCACTCACTTTATGGCAGCTACAAAATAAGCCCCAAAATTATACAAGTCTTTAAGAACACTCCTCATTGTTAGAGAAACAACCCTGTTCATTTGACTCATACCCATGGCTCAGTCTTCATCGTTGACGCCTGGCGACAGCTGCAGGCCAACTGCTTTCCGTGTGCAGAAGTGAAGCCCATTGCACCCTGAGTTGGAGAGGAGCTGACGGAGTGAGGCCATGGGAGGTCATGGCCAGAGAACTCCAGGTGTGGGCTGCTTGAGAGAGCGCTTAGAATTGCGAGGATGCAGAGTAAGCTGGCTCTACCCCTGTTTCTCCAGTGTTATCAGGTACTTCCCGCTGGGTGGAGACTAATGGCATTTATCACTTCACAGGATGGCTTCCAAGTTTAATTGTTCCAGAACCCGCCTCTCCGAGTAACACCTAGAAAGTTAGTTTTTCAGTGAAGTGGCCTCAGGCATGGCCGAATGCACCCAGCTCCTCACCTGCACATTGGCCAACAAAGTGTGTCAAGTTGGGGATATTAATGCGTGTCCCGCCTGCCCTAGGAAACAGGATTGTAGAAGCAAAATGACCTTGTAAAAGCCCTGAGTGAATATAATGGTCCTTGTTGAGTCTTCCGCATTTCTTTTTTTTTTTTTTTTTTTTTTTTCATTTTAGGTTTGGGGGTACATGTGAAGAACATGCAAGATTGTTGCATAGGTACACACATGGCAGTGTGGTTTGCTGCCTTCCTTCCCCTCACCTGTATCTGTCATTTCTCCCCATGCTGTCTCTTCCCACCTCCCCACCCCCGCCCCTCCCCCATTTCCCCCCAGTGGACCCCAGTGTGTAGGGCTCCCCTCCCTGTGTTTGTCTAACGCTGACTGAGCTCTGGAACCCCCTGGGCTGCTTCCGGAGAACGACACACTTGGTTCTGGTGCAGTTTTAGTTAGGTTTAAAATTCTCACGCTGACAGGAGTGGTGTACTTTAAAGATAAATAAAAATGGATACTTTAGAAGAAACTCAACTGTGTGTACCCCTGGAGGACTCCTGAAAATAATGCCCCTGCCTTTCTCATGGATGCCAGGGCTTGAATTTTTTTGCAAAGTGAGGTGGTGAGTGACAATTCATTTCCCATGGACGGGTTGTCAGCATGAGATTGTCAGTGTGAGATATTCAGTGATACAAAGGTGATGAAATAAGGACTGATTTTGGTTCCGATAGCCCTCAAGGACCCTTTGATCAGCCCTGTGGAAATTGAGATTCTAAACCTCCTCTGGAGGGATGGAGATTTTTACATTCAAAGAGGAGGAATTGAAATGTTGGTAAGAGTGCATGGGCATTTGGTTTTTTTCCGAGTTGGAGGCACAGTCTAATTCACGGAACACAGCCCCTCTTTCCTCTTACCGTGTCTGAATTGTTCTTCCTCCTTGCCCTTTCTGTATGCACTGGACATCGTCCTGGAGGGTAGAATGCTCTGGTGTCAGAGGGAACTAGAGACCTTGGGCACAGACCAGCTCTCAGCAAGTCAGGTGCTCCGTCTAATAATTTCAGTGATTCTTACCCACGTTTTGATTTTTAACAGCAGTATCTTGAAGAAAAGCAAAGGGTGATTATCACCAAGTGAGAATAATGGTTGATGCTGGAGGGTGGGATTTCCTGGGCACCTGGGGCTGCGGGGATGCTGGTGATGTCACAACCCTGACCTTGGTAGCAGCTACACAGATGTTGATGCGGACTGTTTCCACTAGACTATGCATATGTGCTTTGTGTTTCTTTGCATATATGTTCTATTTATGATAAAAGAAAAAATAATCTGTATAAGCCAGGATTTTTTTCTGTTTAATTTCTGTATACTTGATACACATTTTAGTCATGGAGTATAGTGACATGATTTGATTATATTAAAATGGTTACAGTGTAACCGTAAAAGAATAAAGAAGAAATTTGAGATAGAACTCTTGTGAAACCACCAGAGAATATCTGTATCCACATAGGATACTTTTCCTGGTAATCAAGCACCTTTGCTCAGAGTCATCAGCGAGTGCTGAGCTGCTTCCTTTTCAGCCTTTACGGAAAACCTCGGAGTTTGCTGGAGGAGATCCGTCCCCGTGCGGCTCTCCCTGCGCGCCCTCCTGCATTCTCATCCACTTAGAGGCCTCATGATGGCAATCAGTGGGGACTGTAAGAAAGTCAGAAGCACAATTATAATGTTGAGAAAGTCTGAAGAGCTACAGTTCAGCAATGGAAATGTTTCTCACTTGAATATCTGAGGGATGAGCGTTACTATAACGGGGTCGTGTAATTATTTATAAAGCAAGGATCTTCTGGTCGTTTCAGCCCCTCGCACGACAGCCGTGTGATGAGCAGCCAGAGGTACTTGCTAAAGTGGAGCGTCCCGCTGGGACATGTGGATGCCATTGAGTACGGCAGCAGCCCTGGCGCGGGTGAGCACAGCAGGCACCTCGCCGTGCACCCGCCTGAGAGCCTGGCGGTGGTCGCTAATGCCAAGCCAAGTAAGTAACGCTTCTCTCGCGTTCGTCAGCATAAGCGCTGACATCTGCAGGCTTAGGGCTACAACGGTCAATCTGTGGGGGCGATCTGGGCTTTGGAATCTTCATGCTGTCTGACTGACGTGGCCCAGGTGGCTGCTAGTCTCTGACTTGTCCCATGTGCGGCTGGGGCTTCTTCGGGTCCTGGCCATGCACCTGGCTGCTCAGGAGTGGATTCCGCCTTCCCGGTCCAGTGAGCTCAGTTTTGCATTTCCCGTGAACCTGACGAGGACTTTGGTGCTCGTCTCTTCCGTCATAGAGCCTGAGGCTGTGGTGATTCCAGCTCGGCTCCGCGCTCACCTGCTCTCACTGCCAGGCAGCGCTGCGAAGTCTTTACACAGTTTCCCCATGGTGGCATTACTTGACCACGAACTTCCCAAGATGAAATGAGAAATTGCAGAATGCTTTGGAAATGTCGTACCATTGCACATGATTTATGATCCCTATTACCAAACATTGTTCAGACCACGGATTTTAATCTTAGTGTAAAAATCTCTTGATTAAAAAAAAAAAATCCAAATAACGACTCGCTAAGTTTTATTCACTTTTTGGCCTCTACCCCTAAATTGTAGAACAATTTAAAAAACACGATAAGCTTTCATTTTAGATGTAATGTAAGCTTTTCATTCAGCCACAGCAAGAGGAGAAACACTGGATATAGACAGGTTTTCATTGCCTGTTAAAAAGAGATATGCCACATTGGAGAGCGAATCTTTATTCCGAATTCAAGGAGAACTTTGGTGTCTTATCTTCAATTAAGGGGACTTTTGAAAGCGTATATGATTGTGTTTTGCAGACTTGCATTGATTTTTTTTTTTTTTACCATGTTCCTATGGAAAAGCATTCACTAGTTAACCTCATTGAAACCACTTTTTCATGGGACAGCTTTCTGCCCACTGCCTTAAACAGAGAGTTTAAGTGAGGAACTTGTTTTGCCATTGTAGTGTTTTGTTCTGCTGCATGTTCTGGGTGGAACCCATGCCTCAGGCATGACATAACCACTCTTCATCTGCTATTGGAGTGCAGTGCCTTCAGTGTGATCTGTTATTGTGATGCCTTCGTTTTAAGAAACTAAGACACTAGTAAATGAGTGAGTATGTGAGGGACTTTGTCTGAAATGAATTACTTGGCTGGGCACAGTGGCTCACACTTGTAATCCCAGCATTTTGGGAGGTTACAGTGCGGGGGGGGGATCACTTGATGCCAAGAGCTCAAGACCAGCCTGGGCAATATAAGAAGACCCCATCTCTACAAAAAAATGTTAAAAAATTAGCCAGGTGTTGCATACCTGTATTCCCAACTACTCAGGAGGCCGAGGGAGGAGAATCACTTAAGGTCAGGCTGCAGTGAGCTACGATTGCACCACTGCACTGTGCTCTAGCCTGGATGACAGACAGACTGTATCTCAAAATAAATGAACAAATAAGCCAATGCTTGTCATAAAATAATGGCTCTATTCCTATTTAAGATTTTCTGTAGCCCCGCAGTTGCTCCCTTCTGGCAAATCAGGAGACAGGCTCAGAGAAGTTGCAGACCATCATGGCCATGGTTTTCTGCCTCCGCACCTCTCCTGTAATGAGAAGGAAACGTCATTAGTTCTGTGCATCTTGTGTGCCAGGCGCTTTGCTCGTGTGATTGCACCGATGCTTACAACCTCTGCTCCTGTTGGCCGCCATCATCCCTGCAGACAGGCACTCCTTCCTAAAACCTCAGTACCGGCTTTCGCTAGATGTGGTGTCTTGTCACCTGTATTTTTTAAAGGCAGACATTAGCCATGTGGACCAGTCACCAGCTGGGGCAGCAGAGTACCCTCTGAGTGGCACAGCCCAAGGCCTGCCTGGAGTGCCGGGCATGCAGGGTGAAGCGCCTTCCTCCTGAGATAGCAAGTAGGCCTCAGGCGGGTGTAGTGAGTGGAAAGAATTGAACAGTTCTGCTTTGGACATGTTGCCTTCTTAGGCTTTTGAATTTTTAAATTACAGTGTTCACATGCAATAAGATTTACCCATTTCAAGTGTACAGTGCCTGCTACTTTGGGGGGCCAGTGGGACAACGTGGTGTGCAGAGAGCCAGGGATGACGCCGATTCTGTGGTCCTCCGCACTAGACTGCAGGCAAGGCCACGGGACTAGGGGTTCCCTTGGGTTCCTGGCTTAGTGTGAGCACCATTAGCTGTGTGGATCATTTTTAGCCCTGAGTTATGAAGGAGGTAGTGTGGAGTAAGTAGTCTTTAAAATTTCTTCTAGATTAAAAAAAAAAAAAAAAAAAACTTTGAAAACAAATTATTGAAAATGTGTGTGTCTGGAGATGGAACTCAAGTCAGAATTCTCCGGGGAGTTTTTTCCGGCATCAGGTAAGAGCATGGTGCTGCCCTGCATTTACAGAGAAGGCATGGTGAGCACAGTGCTCCGTTCAGCGACTGGCAGGGGTTCTATCCCGACACGTCTGGGTTCGTTGGGATGGACGGGCAGTCTCTTGTTAGTGTTGACAAGGAGTGGGTCCATGTGGTATCAGATCTGTAATGTTGATTTCATGAGTGCTGCGGTATCAGATCCATAACGCTGATTTCATGAGTGCCGCGCTGCAGCCGGTGAGTGATGTCCCTTTGCTCTGCTCATCTCAACTCACTCCACAAACCCAGGCACATCCGTGAGCCACGTCTCCCCGGGGCTTTCCGTAATGCCTCCCTTGGAGTTTTCATAGAACAGCTTCAGATTCACTCTCAGTGTTTCTGGTTTTTTTGGTTCTCTTGCATTTGTCATTTCTAAATTATACTGAGAAGCTAAGTCAAGACATTCTCATTCTCAGTTGATAGTCCTAGGGCTTCTGCTGTTTGAATGACTGTTCTAAAATTCAGTGTTGGAAATGTCGTTGTGTTATTTCGTATTGATAGAGGTAACACACCAACTTCTATCATGGGCAGCACTGCCCAGCAACCTCTGCTTGCAGAGAGGGCAGTGTGGCAACCACCTGAGACCAGTGGGCAGCTGCAGCAGGGAGCTCCCTGTCCCTGCAAAAGCGCCGTGTGGATTGTGCATTTACTGTGTGGGGTTAGACTCAGCAGGGAGCTCCCCATCCCTGCATAAGCACTGTGTGGGTTGTGCGTTTGCTGTGCAGTGTTAGACTCAGCAGAGAGCTCGCCATCCCTGCAAAAGCGCCATGTGGATTGTGCATTTGCTGTGCGGTGTTAGACTCAGCAGAGAGCTCCGCATTGCTGCAAAAGCGCTGTGTGGATTGCAGGTTTGCTCTGTGGTGTTTGCCTCCCGGAGTTATGATGTGACACTTTCCTCTCTCGCAGGGGCTGTAAGCTGGTAACCACGGGTCCTCTATGGATCCGTGGATTGCTTTAAGCTCCCAGACTACCTGATGCTATTTTGAAAAATTTTGTGTAGTTTTCTGGGGTGATTTTAAAGGTTTTGCCAGTTTCCCAGATTGGGGCTGGTCGTGGGGAGGAGGACGATTGTGAAACATCCGTTGCTCTGGCCTGGTGCAGTATCTTTGCTGGTGCACTGCACGGGTCCGCTCTCCCTTCTCACTTTGAGCTCCATCCTGTCTGGCAGGTGGATTTATGAGATGGACTGTTTAAGAATTCCCAGTTTTCGAGTTCCATGCTAAATAGGAGTTGTGGGGGTGGGAGGAGAGGTGTAGCATTGCCCCACTGTTGGGAGCCTTCAGCACACGAGGACAGGAGAGGAGAGGTGAAATCAGTTGCTCCAGCCAGGCTGTGGCCCTCAAGGGTGTTTCAGAAGAACAGCCACTGGAGAGCTCTTACTGCCCATTCTTCCCAGGGAGAAGTTCTTAAAATGTTTAGAGAAATGTGAGTACAAGTTGAATGTACTTTAAAGGGGAGCATTCCTTCAGATGTGCAAATATTCATCATTTACTTTTGTAAACATCAGTCACATAACTTTGTAGTTAGTTATTTAATCCTTAAAAATGAGTGAAAGTAAAAACCATGTCTGTTCTTCACTGTCACGTCAACTTGTAACAGAGTAGGATTGGCCTCTGATCCTTTGGCTTTGGTTGTTATTGGACCAGCATCGACCTGGTCTGATAACCAGCATCCCGTCCCCGCACTGGCAGCTTGCATAGAAGGGACCCAGCAGCTTCCGGAAGGCCGCTGCCTCTCTGTGTGCTCTTGGAACTTTGCAACAAGAGGGGAGGTCCTTTCAGACTGCCCTGCTCTGGCCCATTGCGCTTTATGTCTGGAAGCGTATCCTGCATGCCAGGAGTGCTTCTCTACAGCTGGGCTGGATGTGGCGGTAGGTACAGGAGGATTTGTAACAAGACACAGGGCCATATGAACAGGTAGCTGGAGGAACTGCCCGCTAGCTTATACTGTGAGGAAGGTGGGGGACAGCTCCTGAGAGCGCAGGGTCCCTCCTGAGCACAGAGCGCTTGCCTGAGAGGGGTACTTCTAGGCAAATGCAGAAAGGGGCATGGGTGAGGTCACAGCATTGAGGAAGGTCCCAGAAAACACAAGACCTCCCCCACAAAATTCACACAGTTTAAAAAACAAAGCAAAACACTACTAGCAAGGAACCAGCACCAGGTAGGAGGAAGGAGGGTGTGATGTAAGGTGTCTAAATAGAAGTGAGCCTGGCTGTGGGAAGCTTGAACAGCTGAACATACACCTGACTGATCCTCCTGACGTAGAAGGCAGTGAGGGAAGCGGAGCTGTATTTTTAAAACGCGAAACGGATCCTTGCGAGACTCCCCGGAGCTGCATTCTCCAGGGATGTGTGGCCAGGTGGCTGTTCCATGGAGGCAGGGAGAGGTCTGAGTGGCGTGTGGGGCCACAGCCCCAAGGGGTGGGTCTGGACACAGTGCCTGGGTGTGGGACCCCAGGAGTAATAGTTAGCCCGGTTTCCCTCCTGCCCGACCCACCGCATGGCCCAATCTGCAGGCAGGGACAGAGCCCGGTCTCCAGTGGATGCTTCCCAGAGTCAGGTACTTCTGGGCGGAAAG